AATATATAATAGTCTATGCATTTCTGGATGTGTATACTAAATATTATCCTACGTGTGTGTGTGTGGTGTGTGTGTGTGTGTGTTGTGTGTGTGTGTGTATACACATTTTACAAATTAAATAGTAAAATAATAATAATAATAATAATAATAATAATAATAAATAAAATATATAAAATATACAGAGTTGAATATGTGCAAAACAAGTGGCATTTATATACAGTGTGGAGTGCATAGTGTTGCAGTTCCCGTAGTGAAGCTGAGGTGTCTATGAAGTGTTCAGCAGTCTGATGGCCTGATGGAAGAAGCTGTCTCTCAGTCTGCTGGTTCGGGACCGGATGCTGCAGAACCTCCTTCCTGATGGAAGCAGTCTGAACAGTTTATGGCTGGGGTGATTGGAGTCCTTGATGATCCTCCCCGCTTTCCTCAGGCAGCGCTTCCTGTAGATGTCTTGGAGGGAGGGAAGCTCACCTCCAATTATCCGTTCAGAGCACCGCACTACTCGCTGGAGAGCTTTGCAGTTGTAGGCGGTGCTGTTGCCATACCAGGTGGTGATGCATCCAGTGAGGATGCTCTCTAGGCTATAATCATGCCTTTCAAAGATTTACCAGGTACTTTGTTGCATTGAAACTCATGTTACCTGATAAGAGCATGATAACCCCTTCAGAGATTGTACCAGTTACAAGGAAATTGAATGTTATCAAAATTGAATAGTAGGTCATGTCATTAATGTAGTGGATACAAATGCATAAAGGGTCGCCTGTGTAAAAACCTGACTTTAATCAGCATTCATTGACCTTTTGACCTTTAGGCAGTCTTCATCATACTTTCTCATAATTTAATTTATCACCATATCACTGCAATGTTATCTTTGGTTATCTGGTTTTTATTCCCTCACAATCAGTATGCAGCTTGGAAAACACTGTCAGCAGAAACTACAGATCTGATTTGGAAAGCAAAGCTTTGCTGAGTGTGGTGTTCCTCTTACAGACCCCAGAAATCACCCAAGTTAACCCACTGAGGTGTGAACTAGTGTGTTTAGCTTCTCTTGTTTCCTCATAAAAATCACCTGTCACCTGCTTCTTTTCCTTTGCAGTCGTGTCAGTATAGTCTCGTTATAAATGGCAGTAAAAGTATTTTTATTCATTTTCATTTTCTAAAACTGATCAAAGTTCAGGGGCTGTAATAAAATGGAAACGTTCTCATTTCTGCACCGAAACAGCCTGAAGCCTCAAGACAGTTTGTAAAACCATTTTGTGTTGCTGTGATGAGCATGAGTGCATTTCAGGTTTCAGATTTTGTTTAGCCTTTCTTTATTTTTGGCTTAGATCAGTTTAAAAGTCTGACTCATAAGCACATACGTACAGTAAAATCCAGTAGATTGTGCTACCCAAAAATTACTCACCATCCTCAAAGCCAAGATAGCAGTGTGGCCATCAGCCAGAGACGTCAACTAACAAGACTATTTCTGTGCTTTATCCTTTGAATAGACTAAAAACTGTTTGCAAGCTTTGCTTTCGGATCAGGTTACTGTCATAAGAGGCAAAAAAAAAAGGAAGAATAAAACTGAGTCATGGGAATGTACAGTACGTCTATAAATACAGAAAGAAAAGCTGTGAAATTTAGAAAGAACAAGACTATTAAATTACAGTGAAGAAGCATGTTACTTGCTTCCAAATTCAAATAAATCTGAGGTTAAAATACTCGGCCTTAAACTTTTAGAAACACAGTGTCTAACCAGATACTTGCTCTGGATCTGTAATTCATTGTTATCAGGATGTCCAAAAAACTCACTGAAAAGCCTTCAGTTAATCCAAAATGCTGCAGCAAGAGTCCTGACAGGGACTAGAAAGAGAGAGCAGATTTCTCCTGTTTTGGCTTCCCTTCATTGGCTTCCTGTTAAATCCAGAATTGAATTCAAAATCCTGCTCCTCACATATAAGGTCTGAAATAATCAGGCCCCATCTTATCTTAATGACCTTGTAGTACCATATCACCCTATTAGAGCACTTCGCTCTCGCTCTGCAGGCCTACTTGTTGTTCCTAGAGTATTTAAAAGTAGAATGGGAGGGAGAGCCTTCAGTTTTCAGGCCCCTCTTCTGTGGAACCAGCTTCCAGTTTGGATTCGGGAGACAGACACTATCTCTACTTTTAAGATTAGGCTTAAAACTTTGCTTTTTGCTAAAGCATATAGTTAGGGCTGGACCAGGTGACCCTGAATCCTCCCTTAGTTATGCTGCAATAGACTGCCAGAGATTCCCATGATGTACAATTTCTTCCTCAGTCTCCTTTTTACTCCATGTGTTTACACACCGCTCTCCATTCGTCATTATGAATCACATTTCCACAACATGTCTGTGTCCTGTATCCATCCTTTCACCCCAACCGGTTAAGGCAGATTGCCACCCCTCACTGAAGCTCGTTCTGTTCAGGACACTGCTAGCATAATGGACAGGTTTGTGACGGGGCTCCCACAGAAACGCAAAGCAGAAGATAAAGCATCGCCGAATATGTTCCCCCTGCGTGGGAAGCACATGCTGGTTTGTCCAAACCAAATGGTGAATGTTATCACACAGGAAAAAAACAACTAAACATAAAATAGTTACACATGAAGATGGTTTGTTTTCCTGTTACTTAAGGCTACGTCCTCACGTACACGGGTATTTATGAAAACAGTTTCATTTAAAAAGAAATCGTGTCCACACAGGCAGTTTCGAAAAAATCTCTCCGTCCACGTGTAAACACAAAAATTACAGGTAGTTTTACCTGTAATTACTATTTTATCGATCCTCACCAGTCCCCGGCCTCCTTCCTACTTAGTGTACAGCCTCAGGGTGCTGAACAGGGTGAAACCATCCATGCATGGTAAGGAGCTTTCTAACTTTTCATGTCAGTGGCTTCTACTCCTACTTTGGCCAGCCTATTACCCCAGCACGGTACCTGATCATGGTCAGGGCATAGGTGTTAACAGCCCAGATCCTGTTTTTACCTTTATCTTACTTTTATCTTACCGTTCAGCTGACTCCTCAGGACTTGCCTGACCCTCTGCAGGTACTTTGTGGTTGCAGCTTTCCTAGCGGCCTCTTCATGGTTCCCATTTGCCCGTGGGATCCCCAGGTACTTGTAGCTGTCCATTATCTCTGCAATGTTGCCTTCTGGTAGTTCGGTCCTCTCAGTTCTGACTATCTTCCCTCTCTTTGTTAATAATTAATGATAACAATAATAATTATTGCTCTGTCTTTAGAATTTCCACCCTAATAGGTTCCCCCCCAAAATTCCACCCTGATAGGATGGAATCAACCATAAATTATTTTGACTGATTTCTAACTGAATTATTCCACCATGCTTCTGAAACATGGACCATAGGATGAGCTTGACACAAACGCAGAAAGGTAAATAAACACAGAACCAGACACAGAAACACAAGGGAAGCAGGAAAAAAACAGGGATAAATAAACCAGAATGAAACCAAGAAAGTAATACGGAATAATTTTTATAAATAACCAGTAGGCATAAATACCAAGAGTGTTTTTTCCCCTTAGATAAGATCAAGATGATACACCCACTTTAGTCTCATTGTGCCAGAGGTGTTATAGTAGATCACACGCCTATGATGGGGGATTTCTGCACACATCACCACCACCCTTTCTAAAATTATCATTCAGCAGCATTTGTTTGTGTAATGAATACAATTGTCTTTTACGTCTATGTGTAGCTTTTTAATTTCTTTAAACAGCTGAACACTAGTTCTCCCAGATGATGCATATAACTGTTTTCCGCAGTGGATTCATCCACATTTAAAAATTCTGGATCCTTGGCTTTTAGTTAGCAGTTAGCATTAGCAGCACATCCTGTGTCCGATGTGAAAGGACCTTTATGCTGCTCACTGCGACTCACAGCCATGGTCCCGGGTCAGCCCTGACTTTGTGTTAAACTAATCCTAAAGTAATAATGGTATTTCTAACCACTGATATGCCACAACTTTATCCTTTTAACAGCTGCTGAAAGTTAGGGGACCTAACTGCTATTGGATATTTATATAGAGATCCTCCAGCTTCAAACTGTATTACCTGCAGTTCAAAAAAAAACGCCCCTCCGACAGCCAAACCCATCTGTTCTCTGACTGGATAGTTAAATTTGTGATTGGCATGACATTGACCAATCAGCTGAAAGGAAGAAAAAAAGGATCAAAAAACTTGAAACTTGTGTGTTGAGTTTCACACGTATTTTTGGGTTACACCCACACAAATTCTTTTTACACATACAAATCCTGATTTACAAGTACAAAATATTTATGACCACAGTTTGAGCCCATACGTATCCACCTGTGTATGGGCTCAATCTGTTTTCTTCTAAGGCTGTAATTATACAAACAATGCATTTCTAACATGCCGGAATAGTTAGAAGTTCAGCATTTACGACAGCAGGCAAAGGTCAGTCCTTGTACAGATGACTGATCACACAAAGCCTTGTGCTGCCCCAGTGATAATGAAAAGATTCATTTGGTTCAGCTTCTCTAAAAGAAAAAAAAACAAAAAATCTTTCAGATCTCACCTGTCTAGATACCAGGTACCATGACATAAACACTAACAATAACTTAAGGGTTTCCTTCCTTTAGTTGTGATACTAAAATTTAGTTTCACCGAATCACTCATTGTCCCACCTGTATGTATGTCTCCCCCTTACTGGTGTTATATGACCTTTCAGAACACTAGAGCTGCAACAAAAACAGTATAAGAAAATACAGATAAATAAAGCATTATAAAACACAAAATTGCTTATGCTTTAATTAATTCCTCTGCAGTGCAAGCTGTAATCTGTGTTATCCATTATTTATGTAGTAAGACTTCTACTTGAGAAAAAGACAGAGAAAGCCGCTCAAAGACAAGATACAGCCAGACTCTGGCCTAATAGGGAGAGTCCCAGAGAGATATCGATAACAAAGATATGGACTGTTCTTCCTTCTGTGAAAACAACAAAAAGGTTTTGCGCTATATCTTGGGTTTGGTGGTTTTATTGTTCGTTAAGATCACATTACTATCATAACAAGACAAAATCAGTGAATGTAGCAACAGAAAGTACAAGGCCTATTACAAGCACTGATTTCCAAATCAAGGCATTCACATTTTTGCTTTTGGGTAACTGAAAGTTTTCTTACAGCAAAACTTCTGAGCCAGAAGTTGTGTTCAGTGTATTAAAGAACACACAAAAAAGACGATGAAGAGATGCAAACGCCCTAAGCTGCAGAGCAATGAACAGCTACTCTAAAGAGAAACGGACTACAGAAAGATAAAATCAGAAAAAGAAAACTTTAAATCGAAAAAAGTTGGTACAATGTTGCTAAATTACATCACATGTTCGACAGAAAATTTTAAAAAGCAAAAAAACAAACCAACAAAAAAACCACTAGGACTACAAAAAAACTTCAAAGTTACTCAAGCTCTTTGTGGTTGCTTCAAAGTAACAAACAGAAATAAGAGTGATATCTACAAAACCGCTGGAAAAAATGACGAAGAAAGACAAAGACACTACAAAGACAAACTCTTAACAATAAAAAAAATGAAAATGTAACATGACTGAAGTAAACACACCTCCAACAAAGACTAACAACAATCATTTCATATACAACCCAACTGCAAAGAGATATGAACTGACCGAAAGTGACAAAATGACAGATTTGTGCAAATTTTAAGAAATGTCAAGAAATTTTAGCTGCTGAAGAAAATTCTTTGAAATCTCCACAAACATTTCTTCACGTTAATACAAAGAATAAATAAATAAAAAGCTTAAACACTTAATCTGGAGTCTTTAGGTGTTTCCTGGCACATGTTTGCCAGACTGAGTGTTGAGTAGAAGGACGCCTCAGAGTTCATATCTGTGGAGAGAGGACAGGTTCAGAAAATGTTCAAACTGAAAGCAGTGAAAGCATTTTTTCCCTTTTAATTAATTTAATACTGAAAGGTTGGCGTCAGTCTCATCTCTCAAAGGTGTTAAAAGTGATGACACGGATGTGGTGGGGATTTCTGCTTCTCTGTGTGAAGTCTTTTACATGGAGGCGGCAATGATCTCTGCTTCTAGACAACAATGCAGTGTTTGTTTGTGTCTAAAGCATCTGTGTGATGCTTTCATCTCAATATGGACCAAAAGGAAGAAGGAGGCAACCTTATTAAACTTCACCGTATGATTCACCAGTAAGTTCTGTTCTCTGACCATTCAGTCAGTTTGTTCCAAAGTCCTGTACCACAGCCAGTTTCAGCAGTCCCTGCTCGACCATCAAGCTGAGTATGGAGATGTAATATGTCACAAGAATGATCAGTGGGAGACCTGCACTACGGGATTTGGGGTTTTTTGTCCTCTGAGGAAGAAAATTGGGCAGTTTGTGGCTGAAATGGGACAAGCATTGCACAAAAGGAAGGATGTGGTGGTAAACCAGCTCTATGTGCACATCAGAGCCTTCGAAACTAAGCTGCAGCTTTTCCAGCACTGCGTGAGGTGCTAGAAAGTTTTCCACAGGACATCATCACTGCACAAGTGACGTGGAATGTGACAGCTATGGGACTGTGTATTGTGGAGTTTATTGAACAGTTTCAGGATATTAAATCTATTGAAAAAGACACGTTTTGATTTTTTCTTCTTCCCCTACTCCATCGACCCTGATAATGCTCCGTATCAACTGCAGCTGGAGCTCATTGAATTGCAGTGTGACAATGAGTGTAACAGCCAGCACCAATAACTCTAACTGGTTGAACTTTTACCGGCAGCTGGATGAAGGCAGTTTCCCAGTAATGTGAATATTTACAATGTGAGTTGATCTGAAAACGTCAATGTCAACAGACTGCATACCACCGATTAGCATAGACATTTTAGACAACACAGTAGTCCTCGTGTCTGACAAAAGGCACAGACGGAGCAGAAAGTATAGCATATAAGGCTGATGTCCAGAGAGGTGCAGAAGAAGAAACATGAGCTGATATCAGGCATCAGATGTTGCTAATATTCAGTTTCTGTGACCCACAATAAAAAGGGTTTACTGCCAGGCTGTGGCAGCCTTTGTCTCTGAGCCAGAGAGACCGAGGTTTATGGCGCCATGTGAAACTAATTTTAAATTCTTACCATTTGATAAGAAACTGTGAAAACTTATAATTGGAGCAAATTCATTTTCTCTCATGAAAAAAAAGAACAACATCCTTGATTGTCGTGTTGTTTGTGTCACAATGACATCACTGGGTTTTCAGCTATAAAGACCCGTTGTGGATTAGGTGCTACTTAGTTGTAATGGAAAACCACTGAAACTGAGTAGATTCAAGCCCCGTCCAGTCGCGTAGGAAAAGGGCTACATGTGCCTTACACATCTCAACCGCTGCTCTCAAAGACCAGATGTGTATTAAAATCCAGGGCTCAGGTTTTTCTCATTATCATTCTCACTGTACGGTGTTTCTCCAACAACAAACCTTGGATTACCCTAGAAATTAAAACCGTCCTCAAGCAGAAGAGGAGGGCCTTCAAATCCAGAGACAAAGAGGAGTTGAAAAGGGTGCAGAGAGAGCTGAGGGGACTGATAAGGAATGGGAAGGACAGCTACAGGCAGAAGATGGAGAACCAGCTTCAACAAAACAACGTTGGTGAAGTCTGGAGAGGCCTCAGAACCATCTCGGGCCACAAACAGCAGAACTCTCTGCCTGGGAGGGATGTGAGGTGGGCAAATGAACTGAATCATTTCTTCAACAGATTTGATTCAGCCATGAGGCAGTCTGCAACATCGGCTGCTGACTCACCCACCCCACTGCTGCTGTTCCACCTCAGACACTTCACACCTCCTTTATTCACCCTGCTCACTCCCCCCACCCCCAACTACAGCATCCAATACACACTCAACACAAGGCTCCAGCCTGTCTCTCTCAACCACCCAGGTTAGGAGGGAACTGAGGAGGATTAATGGCAAGAAGGCAGCAGGTCCAGATGGCATCAGCTCGAGGGTCGTCAGGTCCTGCGCGGACCAACTGTGTGGGGTGATGGAGCACCTCTTCAACCTGAGCCTGAGGTTGGGAAGAGTCCCACAGCTCTGGAAAACCTCCTGTGTTGTACCAGTGCCAAAGACTTCACGCCCCAAGGACCTCAACAGCTACAGGCCGGTGGCTCTGACATCCCACCTGATGAAGACCCTGGAGCGGTTGGTCCTGGCTCAGCTTCGGCGCCTAATAAGCTCATCACTGGACCCACTTCAGTTTGCCTACCAGCCTGACATTGGAGCGGATGATGCCGTCATTCACCTCCTACATCGTTCCCTCGCTCACCTGGAGACCGCTGGAAGCACTGTGAGAATCATGTTCTTTGATTTCTCCAGTGCCTTCAACACCATTCTTCCCTCGGTTCTAAAGGACAAGCTGGTGAACTCTGGAGTGGACCATCACCTCACTACCTGGATTTTGGACTACCTCACCGACCGACCACAGTATGTGAGGACTCAGGGCTGTGTGTCGGACAGGGTTGTCTGCAGTACGGGGCCCCACAGGGAACGGTTCTGGCTCCGTTCCTCTTCACCATCTACACTGCAGACTTCTCCCACAATTCCACCCAGTGCTTCCTGCAGAAGTTCTCTGATGACTCTGCAATAGTCGGCCTCATCACTGATGGGGACGACAAGGAGTACAGAGGTCTGACCCAAGACTTTGTGGACTGGTGCCAGCTGAACTACCTCCAGATCAACGCCAGTAAAACCAAGGAACTGGTGGTAGACTTCCGCAGGCACAAGCATTCTCCACTGCAACCACTGAACATCCAAGGTATGGACATTGAGGCTGTGGACAGCTACAGGTACCTTGGTGTTCATCTGAACAATAGACTGGACTGGACTCATAACTCAGACGCCCTCTACAGGAAAGGGCAGAGCAGGCTGTACCTGCTGCGGAGACTCAGGTCGTTTGGAGTGGAGGGCCCACTCCTGAAGACCTTCTATGACTCTGTTGTGGCTTCTGCTATCTTTTATGGTGTGGTCTGCTGGGGCGGCAGCATCTCTGCTGGGACAGGAAGAGACTGAACAGGGTGATCCGAAGGGCCAGCTCTGTTCTAGGATGCCCTCTGGACCCAGTGGAGGTGGTGAGTGACAGGAGAACGGCGGCTAAGCTGTCATCCCTGTTGGACAACATCTCCCACCCCATGCAGCAGACTGTGACAGCACTGAGCAGCTCCTTCAGTGGGAGACTGCGGCACCCACGGTGTGGGACGGAGAGATTTCGCAGGTCTTTCCTCCCCACTGCTGTCAGACTCCATAATAAAGACTTTAACTGATCAAACACACACATCCATACATATGCAATAATACTAAGTGCAATAATCCTTTCTGTCATCGTTGTATTTTTACTCAGTTGTATATAGCATTTGTATTTGTATTCTATTTTTTATCTTATTGTATATTTATTTTATTTTATTCTATTCTGTACAGTTGTGTACTGTATTTATTCTTATTGTATCCTAATTTTTGCCTCATAACTTTTGCACTGTCCACTTCCTGCTGTGACAAAACAAATTTCCCACGTGTGAGACTAATAAAGGTTATCTTATCTTATCTTATCTTATCTTATTAATATCAGGATGTTACCTGTTTCTGCAGATAAAAATATCTGCAGTGATAGATTTTTCTAAAGGTACAATTTACCATTGATAACAATTTAAAGTCAAAATATGGTGTTTAGATTTTTGTATTGAACATAAGAATAGGATTGTAAGTGTAACTGTTGGTGCTGTGAACCTGTAGAAAATGATCCAGAAATCTTGTGTTTCACATGTTTTGAACTTTATCATTAACAGTTTTATTTTTTTATTGCTCAAACACATCTGATCACCGAAGCAACAATTCTTGTGCTACTGAAAATAAAATGTTAAAACATAAAGTTTATGGCTCGAAAAAGGCGAGGAGGATGTTGTGTTAGGCTTTGCGTGATTTTACCTTAGAGAGCTTAGTTGTGTTTGTCTGCAGTGGGCGTGCCTGGTTAGGTAATGTGGAGCAGTAAATGCCTAATGTATGTTTTGCAGGGCCTGTCATGTAACATTGTCCCACCCTTTTGTTTCAGATCTGTTGCTGAGCTCATTTGAGTTTGTTTTTTTTCCCTTCATGTTTGATGACAACACCATGTCAGTGGTTTAAGTTGGTTACTGGGTTTGTCCTGGTCACCATGGTAGCACAGACAGGAGTGTGCTCATTGTGGAAAAATAATATATTTTAAGTTGTCACATGTTAACTGAGCGTGGACAGTGTGTGTTCTCACTGTTTTATACATTTCAAGTAATGCAGAATGATGACACTGAATGAGCAGTAACATTAGGATTCAGTTTGTGAAGATGCAGCTATTTTATTCTGTTCAGACACAAAGTGAAAATCCCTGAAAATGTCACAGTAAACTTGATATTTGACCTGCAATAAAACAGGACAGGCAAAATATTTTTACTAAAGACTGTTAATTACATTTTTTATTCATGCAAACCTTTGCTGGCAGCAGGACAGTGTCTCTAAGATTTGCTGACGGTAACTATTTTTATGAAATGTGTCTTTTCTTGACAATAACAGAAGAGAAACACAACAGACAGCATCAGGCTTCGGATATGAAGGATTGTAGGCCATTTATTTCATTTATGAGATTGTGAACAACAAGGGAAACACCATGTTTGTTTGTTTTTTTATAAATATACTTACATATTTTCCATATATTGTCTAACTATTGTGTTTTTGGTTCCCACGCTCAGTCTGCATGCTTTTTTTTTTTAACCCACAGGATGTTAGTTCTTCAACAGCATAAACAAAAGCCTGAAGTGTTACATAACATTTGTAGCTGCCTATAAAACAGCACCTCTCCAGTCTGTGTTTACGTCATAGTAAAAGAAAAGGCAGCCGACTCCTTCAGTATAAAAGCTCTGTGCAGAAACTCTGAGCATGTCAGTTTCATCACAATAAATACAACTGGGCATCTCTGAGTGAAACAGCAGGAGCTGACTGAAAGTTAAACTAGAGGGCGGAGTCTGGAGCACGTGCTAAAGCATTATGTTTGTAACTATGGTGACAGTTAACCAGTGACAGTGCAGAGGTCTTCTGTTTCTAGGCAGATAACAACAACATGCACATGACTTCACACAGTCTTCAGTACATAGTGGAGGAAATGACAGAGTGAGTTTACAGTGTTTATGCTGTGAGAACTAAAGTTTAGTGCAGCTTGTCCTTTAGTTTAAAATCTCATGTGAACGCTGGTGATTGTTTTTATTCTCATTATTTACAGTTTTATATCAAAGAGGCCTTTAAATTCAGTCAGACACAGAAGCCTGCAATAAAAGAGAGAACTGTGAGTATGTGAGTGAGTTTTTATGTTCTTACCTCTGAATGTACGAGGTTTCACTTCCTGTGTGGCGGTAATGTCAGTGTACGAGACAGCAGGGTTCACTTTATCTGCAATACAGAACAGTTCACGTGTTACACAACAGCTGGACTCAGATCCACATAAGTGTGTTTTAGTAATAATGTGGAAGGAAACATAGAACTGCTGTTGGAAACAAAGCAAACAATGAATTTGAGAATCTGAGTCACATTTTTGGAGAATGAACGTGCGAAGAAAACAAAGCAGTGACGTGAGAACAGCAACAGATCTCCGTCAACACCAACCAACACCCATCATTAAAGTGTTACCTATGTTTGTTTGTAGGGTTTACCCTGCACAGTGAAGCAAGAGGGAATCCCTCTGCTGACATCAGACGAGTTACGTAAACCATGGTTATGAAACTGTGTCACATGGGATGACTAACATTCCCAGTGACAGATCCACTGGGAGTGATCACCTGACCTCAGTGAGTTTATGACCAGTTTTTGCAGAACTGTTTTGCATGGGCTTTGCCTTACAACATAAAGCACCTTGATATAGATGGATAGATAGATCTATATCTCAAGGTTCTTTATATTGTAAGGTAAAGACGACAAACAAGAAGGGATGACCTCTCACCTTTATCATTAACACACTGAGACGGTATCAGTCCCATTCCCAGTGACAGATCCACTGGGAGTGATCACCTGACCTCAGTGAGTTTATGACCAACTTATTCATTGCTAACATGTTTAGGAGCCATTCATGATTAAAATACGTGTTACAGTATAGTTATAGTTACTTGTGTTATTGTTCTGTTTCCTCACAGTTTCCAGCTGTGTTCACTTTATCTGCAAGTTTTCATGGGTTCGCACAACAGTCGGATTCAAACATGTAAATCCAGAAAACTGAACTCGTAATAAAGTAAACACACTGCTGAAAATAAGTGAACAGGATTCTTTTGACACTTACGGTTAAAAAAAAATCACTGTGGCAGGGAAAGATTAGACTGGAAGAGAGCACAGATGTACTAAGACCAGTGGAACGAGCTGTCGCTGTTTGTTCAGTGTTTACTTTGTTTGGTTACCAAGGAAGGAGTTCCCTCTTCATTCCTAGTTCATCCCTTTTGGTGACGAAAAGAAAACTCTCTGATTGCTCATGAAAAGGAATGAACTATAAATAACAGAGTCACAAAGAACTCCTATTGTTTCAGAAACTATGGCACAATAGTGTCTCCCAGTGAAGAATGCAGATAGTTGTTGCGTGACACAGTTTGTTCATGACTTTTGAACCAGACTCTCCAGCAATAAACCTGCCGTGTTATAGTTAGGCTCAGATAATATTTAAAGGCGCTGCTTGAATGTGCCAAAGTGTGATTCTGAATCTTCTCTGCTGAGCTCTGAAACAGACGTTGCAGGATCAAGATGAGTAGGCCACAGGAAACGCACAGGGAATCATTTTTTTTTCAAAATAAAACAATCTGCAGAGAGTAAATGTTCCACCTCTGAAACCATTCAGGTGATTTACAACTGTACAAAGAACAACATGAAACTAATGACAGTGTTTGGCCAACAACAGTAACTTTATTTATAGATCCTTTTTCGGGTTTTCCGAACATAATTTCTTCTTTTTTCATGTAAACCTTCTCACTTACACCATTTAAGAGATACAAGTATTATTACAGATATCACCTGACATTAGTTAGATATTTTTATTAGTATTCTATGTTTCTGTAGGTTTATTCCGCTTTTTGTTCAGTTTACTTTATTAGTGTTGGTTTTGTATTAACTGGTTAAAACTAAGTGGCAGTGTAAATATTGTGTTGCTACGTTCATTTTTAGAATTCTTGCACACAATATCGCAATGATGCACAACCACAATAATAATAGCTTTGGCGTGCCTGTAGGTCATGAATGCGTAGCTAGAGTCAGACTTTTGTTTGCTACTTCCTCATAAAGGCCATAACTATGCTTAAAATGCAGTTTTATGATGCATGAGTTAACCTTTTCAACAGTTCAGTATTGCAGGCACACAAATGCAGTCAAACATCATTGATGAAAGAAACAAAGCTTTAAGAGTTACAATGAAAAGAGAAGTGAGCAGTGAATGCATCATCACTTCAACCACAAATGCATAATGCAGAGAAACTCACTATTAACAAGTCGTTCAATGTAACATCACCAAATTCATTAAAGAAGCTTTTGAATAAAGTGAAACTGCATATGTGTGTGTCCACACTGATGTAGACAGTAGATGTTCCACAGAGAACCTGACCAGCCTTGACTTCCTGATGGATATCTTATTGATTTCATGTGTTGCACAGCATTAGTGGTTTCTCATTAACTACTTTTTATCAGGTGACAAAGGTGACCTGATAATGATTTGAAAGCTACTTTTGAGACATTTGGTTAGTCTGATCTCCTGCACAATGGGGAAATCTGGGCTGAGATTAGCGGATCTGTCACAGTAGTTCATCTAGAGAACGGTGGCCACAATCTATCCATTTCCTTCCACTTATCCCTGTTAGGGTTGCGGGGCAGAGTACACCCTCGACAGAGCTAACACAACCAGATTGGTATTTACATGGGCAGTTCACAATTAACTGGCAATTGAGAATTGCCATTTAACCTAACTGCATGTCTTTGGACTGCGTGAGGAAGCTGGCGTACTCAGAAAGGCCCTGGCCAGCTGGTGGACTCGAACTCGGGACCTTCTTGCTGTGAGGCAGCAGTGCAAATCACTATTCCAGCATTTATTCATTTTCAGTTAAATTAAGGTTTATTTTTATAGCATCAAAAACAAACAACAGGCACATAAAGGCACTTCATGTCGTAAGGTAAAGACAAGTCTACACTATTCAACAGTTAAATGAGTCCCACTATCAGTAAACACTTGCAACTGTGGCAAGAAAAAAAAACTCCCTTTCAACAGGAAGAAAACGCCAACAGAACAAGGCTGAAGGAGGAGTGACCATGTGCTGCGATCCCAACTCTTATCACCACCAGTTTGTGTCCATTTGGAAAATGAATTGCTCACCCCTGCGTCCTCTGTTCCAGATTTTGTTCACAGTATTTGTCAGGTCTCTATCTTTGTCCTGCTGTTTTCTACAGAAATGCTATCTCGAGCAGATTGTTTAGTATTAGCCACCACACTTATGCAGATGACGAATCATTAAATGTCTCTCTACAGTCAAACAATCCAAACAGTCACAGGAATGTTTGGAGAAATCAAAGGCTGACTGCTCTAAAAGTGTCAGTGTTACAGGATTAAGAAGGTTTGATTGAAATGACCTGGATGTATCTGTAGTGTTGCCTTTATGAAATGAACAGAGTAGGAGGAGGTAGGACCGGACTCTCGTGTGAGTGCAGCAGATTTTAGGTTTATTCTTGGGGATGTTTTTTTTTAACCGCGACCAAGAGAAAGGAATTCTACACACGGTGAAAGTGACATTGTAGCAACAGGATGTAAAATGTCATTTCTTTTTTTTATTTACATCAAAACATGCTGACCTTTGTGGCTCCTCCAGAGGCAGAGCAGCATCAGCAAAATCAGCATGAGGCAGACACCCACCACAGGAAGAATCACTCGGGGGGAAGAATCAGGCGACGAGTCAGGACTCCCTGCTTCAAAACAAAAATACCACACATTGGCCTAAATGCAGACCCACAGGCCTTTGTATAAACGTCCAGCAGGGTTTTTTGTGCTAAACTGGGCTGAAAGCACACAGGATCTACCCTTCAGGTAGGACATCAAACAAGTGCATTTCTCATGATGTTGTAACAGTCCTTTAAAGTAAACAGTTTCTATAGAAAAACACTCAAGTGGTTGGTGGTTGATACAAATCCATCATTTGAACTCAGTCAGCAGTTTTCCTCTCATTATTAAACAAGTCCTAAAGATTGCTAACTAACAATTTTTTATAAAGACAAACATAAAAAGGGGATTCGGGTCTTTAAAACTTGTGCATATTTTGGAACTGAATGAACAGTTGAAGAAGGAAAAGTCCTTCCTTTACACTTTTTAACCAAACTAAACTAATGTTGTGTGGGTAAGGTGTCTGGATGTACTTATGCTCAGATTTGATCAATACTTACGGGGTAAAATTGGAAAAATAACCATATTTTGGTGGTTGCACAAAAATGCATAATAGCATCCCTCCCAGGTAACACCCTCCCACTTTAAAATGAATTACAATAGAAAGATTAGAAGCACAAAAGTAGAACTTTGTCATGTAAAACAACCATATCTGGATTCTAGTATGAATCCATCATGCTCACAGTAAGATGTTATAACTCTTTATGTTTTCTGCTCACCTGCAGAAATAACCACCAGCGAGCTGTCTGGTGATTGTCCAACTCCAGTGATGTTACACTTGTAGAGGCCTTCATCTGATTTGGAAACCCTGTGGATGGTCATGTTTCCTGTAGAGCTGTTCTCAATGAGATCATCATTTTTATAGAAAGTAGAAGTGAAATTGGAGGATGAGCCTGCATTGTATCTACAGTGCAGAATTACAGTGTCTCCCTCCGTCACAGGATGGACAGGACCTTCCAGGATCACAGAACCAGCTGAAACATAAAACTTTTAGTTCAGACTCCCCTTGCAGCATCGAGTTATGTTTCTGATGCAATTCTATTTAAAAGCTTTTCTTTTGTTTAGTGTCATTTTAAAATTTTGCTTTGTTTTTAGCCGAGACTGAAGTGGTTATCTGCTTGCTGGCAGGATGTTTGCTGGCAGATAACAGGACTTTCATTCGAACAAATAACTGGAGTCAGTTGAAGCCTGTGTAGAATAGTTCATGAGTTAAATCAAATTTGTATGATTACAGTGTGATATGATCAAACTTCAGATGGTGAATGTTGCGGGTTTTTTAGTGAATTAAACCATCCTGTTTACTTTTTGCAGACCAACACTGCTTACTTGGCATAAAAAGAGCTGCTTCTTCATGATATGTTCATGTTATCTGTAAACGTGTAGAAGCTTTTCAGGTACTTTGAGTCACTACTGGCTGCAACTCATGATTTGTTGATCAAAGCTCACCTGCCACAGTGATGTTGACAGCATTGGAGCACTGTCCTGCTGCAGACTCACACCAGTAAACTCCAGTGTCTGCTGGATAAAGATCACTGATGTCGCAGTGAGATTCACCTATTCCATTTGAGGATGAGGGACATATGGTGTTTGTGTTAAAGGACGTGCTCCTCTTAACTCTCCACTCTGAAGAGTTTTCCTGCCCCCCACAGCTTATGGAGACGGACTCATACTGGAAGAACTGGGATCTGTTAGGAATGATTCTGAGTGAAGCTGCAAAACAAAAAGAGAAATGATGGCAAACGTAAGTTTATGTTGTTAATGCGCTTGAAGAAAGGAGCGACCGTGAAAGCTGGGCGATGCATAGACGCCTGCTTTAGATGCTGTTTCACTACGGATGTTATTTGGATTAAAATGTGTCTGTTTAGCATGTGGCTGTAATGAAACCCCGGCCTAAGGCAGAATGGCTACCTGTTTACAATGTGATGCGGTTAGCGGCTGCAGCGAGCTACAGTAGCAAACGTAGACTGGATGCAATCGAAGCTTCATGTGCCACCCACGATCTCAGATAGAGGAGCAACACATCACACTAAATGCCGTTAGTGGGAACACACAATAGCAAAGACAGACTGCCCTTGACCTTTAACAATGAAATTCTGACTTTTGATTTTTATTAGTTGTGAGTTTTTTACATTTTGTCCCAAAAGAAACAACAACAACAAATGAAATTAAATATGGGAAAAAAAATAGATAACAGAAATTTTGAAAAAAGGAAATTAAACTTGACCAAAACAAAGAAACCAACAATGATATTATGCGCTTAAAAAATAATTTTAAAATTTAGAAAAATACACATGAAATGTTTTTAAACTTAAGCTTTTTTGGACAAATTTGCCATGGCAACAAGCCTAAACAGGCTTTGACGTGCAGGTTTACTGAGATTATTCGCGTGCATGACTGTGACTCGCCTGCATTCAAAAATCACAGTTTTGTATTGTAATTGTTTTTCTGAACTTTAAAATTTTTGACCCTGACAAATACTTACCCACACAACCTTTGAAATAATAATACTTAATGTGATCAAATCTAACCTGAGACAAGCAATCAGCTCCGAAACTAAAATGAGCAGTCAAGAAAAACCTAAACACACAAATTAAAATACACTTTGTAATTCTGGCAATTACTTAGTAGTTACATGCAGTAAGTTACTGAGCCGTTACTAAACAATACAACAATCATTTGCTGTTACTTATAGCAACCTTGTAATTACATGGCAGCTTCAAGACAACAATGAGTGCATCTTTAATTGATAAATTCTGGTTGTAACAATAAGATAACTGAAAATCTATGATATATAGAGTAACATTTATGAGCCATTGAAAAATATAATGTATAATATAACATGTAATATACATATCATAAAAATATATAACACATACATATAGATTCTGCTCATAAAGAAGAAGACAGTTAGTGCTTTTGCACTAAATGAGAGCACTCCAACACACTTTTACTCACCAATAACAGCACACAGTGTTGCTATCTCCATACTGCTGGTGCACTGACAGACAGGCTGATAAACCTGGGGGGTGCCGCATGCTTTCTACTTTTTGTTAGCGTCACAGTGACCACAGCTTCCTGCCGTAATCATCTCCTGTTCTAAATGTGTTAAAAACTTGTTTGTGCAGGATGTGTCTTTTTCTGACACCTCAAATGTCAAAGTGTGTGTAAATAAGTGAACGTGGTCCTGTTTTGCTTTGTTGTGTGTTTGTTCTGTCCTGCCTTTACTCTTTGAACATGGTTTGAATAAATATGTGCCAAACGCATCTGGTCACGTGATAACCAAGAGCTCATCCAAATGTGATCTGTGAAGAAAACTGAAGGGAAGTGATTTTTGAAATTTTCTTTAATGGATAAAAATCAACTGGACCATAAATGTTTTTTTATTTTTGTTTGTTTTTGTTGGATAATTGTTAATTTTTGATTGAATTTAGTGTCAAGAGCCATTTCAGATGGAAACCCACACAGATGTGCAAGGATTAAACACACACAGCAACAGATCATAGAAAGTGAACAGTGGGACATATATAAACACCAAGGACTAATTAGGGAATGACTGGAGGTGAATGAGACACAAGTTAGAATAATTACACACAGATCAAAATCAGGAGCAGAAGATCATAAGGAACGAGGAAAAACTAATGTAAGACATGAAAGAAGACTAACCTCTTAAGTGGAACAGGAAATAAACATCTAACACTGGAGAAGACCTCATGGTCAAAGTACTTAGTCACAGAGGGAACTAAAAACACTAGAAGAAACAGTGAATTCAAACAGGATAAAAAAACAAACAAACCGGAATTCAAAAGTTTAAACATGTAAAAGTTCAGAGGCCCTGACTGCTGATGCTTCTCAGAGCAGCGGGATGTTGGGGCGGAGCAGAGAAGCAGGCCCTGTGCTTATCTCGTGCTAAGGCTGCACAGCAACAGATGCTGAGTCGGCACCAATGGGCTCGCGAACAGCAGGCCTCCACAAGTTCAGGGCCAGGCTAAGATGGTGGAGAGGTTGTGGCATGCCGGCAATGGGCAAGGAGAGATGACGGCCTATGTTATGAACTGGGGAGATGGGCTAAAAGGAGGCTGACTCAGAGTCAGGAAGTGAAGATGCTGGCTCTTCTTCTCTTTCTTCTTTTTGGTTATCCCTGCCATCGTCCTCTGTCACACTGTGTGTCCTTCTTCACAGCATCCATGAATCTTCTCTATCCACTATCACTCCTCTGCACCCAAACTCCATTTAAAACTAATCAGGAACAAGAATTAAAATAATAAACCTGAAACTAAAGTTCAATGTTACACAAATTTGCGACAGGGAATCGGAAAAGCCTGAAACTCAAATGCAACACAAAAACCCTCAAACGACGATGCAAATATGTGAAAATGCGTCTTTGTCTCCTGATCGTAGACTGCGGGCTGTAATCAGTGATCGATGCACTGTGTCAGGTTCAGACTGATGTTGTCTCTTTCAAGAGTGCAGCTGCACATTTTTATCACTTCATCACAGGAGCTGTGCCATTATTTGCTAACTCAGCACTGCTTCAGAGCTGCTTGCACATCAAAACTATCAGGATGTCACAGTTGCCAGCATGGCTGCAGTTCACCAAAGGTGCTGTTATTCTGCTGAAAGCACTTTCAGTAGAACAGCTCACCTCACCTGGCAGCTCACCTTCATAGACATGTCTGATGTTTGATACTCCTGTAAAATACATTGATTTCAGGCTCTTTGCAGTTTTATTAACCAGCTGTGTGTCTCAGCTTGTTGGTGCTTGTTAATGCAAATGTCCTGCATGGATCGAGCCAGCTCTGGACCTGGTGTCTCCTCTATTCTCACAGAATATCTGAGAGTGAAAGTCCTTTTCAGATTTAATGCGTGCTTTTTGTGTAGAAACAATAATTCAGTGTCAGGGGTGATGAGGCACAGAGCCCAGAGCTGGCCTACCAAAAGGTCCATTGGATTACTTTATATGGTAAAAAAATGTGCTGAAGAATACATCTTGGAATCTGCAGCCTTTTTTAACCAAGGGGAAACACAATGAATCACAGACAGAGGATGTTTAAATTTGGCGCAGAGATGTGAATAATCGTCTGTTTAACAGCTGACTTCCTAGCAAAAAATTACCCTTTCCTAGCAAAGCATAACAAAGTAAGATTAGTAATCTCACTGGGTCCTTAGCATCTTCCTCTGTCACACCAACCATCTACATGTCCTCCTTCATTACATCCATGAATCTTCTCTGTGTTTGTACCTAATTGAGCCCTCAAAAGACCGTCTACTACATGCCTCATTCACACACACATTCATTCAGCACATTTATCAACCACATAAAACACAGCTTTCACTCATCACTATGGCTGAGTTGCTTCTGTGTAAAGATTCTTAGGCTTGTTGAGTCTTGCTGAAACTGCTGCTGGTGGTCGGGTCGCCTGAATGATTTGGGAGTTTTCCCAAAATCTCTGATGTTACTTTTCCATCCTCTGTCTCCCCATCAGAAGGTGATGGAGCATGTGATTCTTCGTGATGTTATGGTTCATGAGCCAAGAACAATTGTGTGATCTGTGAAAAGCAGAGCTATTGGCACAGATGGACGGCCACTGATAATCCACATTAGAATGAAAATAACAAACACTGCTTTTGTCCATCACATCCAATCAGAAACAAAAGAAGGCGCCGGATGTTATTCTTCAGAGCATTTGTGCTGAGAAATGAGAAGACAAATGTTTGCATTTTCCGCTTTTCTCTTCCAGTGAATTTATCCTCAAAACATTGTTGCTGGTAAAGCTAAAAGCTGTGCCAATAATTTCATCTCACTAATGGCATGTCACCATTTTTAATGATGTTTCTTTGTTCTGCCAGGAAGGCCAATTATCCGAGTATTTCCAGATTTTGTGCTGGTTAGTCATGAGTCATTACTTGGAAAATCCATTGCTGGATATCACTCTGTGAAACTGGTCTGCACTAAAAACCTCCCTGCAATTGTTAAAGTAGCTAGCAGACTCTATGGTTGCTGGAAATTTGTATGGAAGATGCTTTTAACACACCCAAAGAAAGATTCTAGGTCTGACCAACCGTCTCAGTCGTGGGCAAAAAGATCACAGTCAATAAAATTCTAAAAGATAATTTATTGACAAAAAAATCAAGAGATAAAAGATAAAACAGTCCAGTGTCCCATTTATGAATCAATCTTCGCCAGCTGCTCTCGGGCGTAGGAATGTGCAGAATCCAGCCGGTCCTGCAGCTTCCTTGCGTAGTCCCGGCCTGGTGGTGCCTCTGGCACGTCCGGGGGCTTCCCAAAAGCCAACTCTGCAGGAGTTCTCAGCTCTCTCCCTAACATGAGCAGGGCAGGCGTACATTGGGTGGAGTCTTGCACTGCCGACCTGTAGGCCATGAGGATAAGGGGAAGATGGTAGTCCCAGTCCCGTTGGTGTTCTGAGGTAAGGATGGCTAGCTGCTGGGCCAGCGTCCTGTTAAACCTTTCCACCAGTCCATCGCTTTGGGGGTGAAGTGGGGTGGTGCGGGTCTTCTTAATCCCAAGGCGTTCACACATGGCAGTAAATACCTTGGACTCAAAGTTACGCCCCTGGTCACTGTGGAGGGTCTCTGCTGTTCCAAAGCGGCTGAACATCCCCTCCACTAATACATCAGCGACAGTCTCAGCCTCCTGATCTGGGATGGCGTATGCTTCCGGCCACTTGGTAAAATAGTCCATGGCCACAAGAACATAGCGGTTTCCTCTGTCTGTGCGAGGAAATGGGCCCATGACGTCCACAGCTACTCGCTCCATTGGGGCTCCTGCTGGTTGCTGCTGAAGCTGAGCCCGGGACTGGTCCTGTGGCCCTTTGTGTGAGGAACATGCATCACAGCTGCGGCAAAAGTCCTCCACATCCCTCCGCTGTTGACCCCAGTAATAGCCCTGGCGGAGGCGGCGGAGAGTCTTGGAGACCCCAAAGTGGCCGGAGCCAGTGCTCCCATGGCAGGCTTCCAGCACAGCTGACCTCAGCGACCTTGGCACCACAACCTGCCACCTCTCCTCCCCCGTGGCAGGATCCTTCCAGGCACGCTCCAACACCCCCTCCTTCAGCCTGAGAGCTGCAAACTTGGCCCATAGCCCCCTGGTACAGATGGAAAACCCAGTGACCTCATCCCAAAGTGGTCGCTCCCCCTTCTCCAGCCACTGTAGGACCGGCAGCAGGTCTGTGTCTTGTTCCTGCCGTGCCCTCCACCCCGCTGCATCCACCACCAGAAGAGCCCTGCAGGCGAGCTGTGCTGCTCCGTCTATTGACGTGAGTTCCCGCTCTATTTCCTCTCGCTTCTTACAGTAACGGCAGCCAGCTGCGGCACATGGGCGGCGAGAGAGGGCGTCTGCGTTAGAATGGTGCGTCCCTGCTCTGTGCTCCACAGTGAAATTGAAGGCTTGGAGCTCCTCCAGCCAGCGAGCCACCTGTCCCTCTGGCTCCCTGAAAGACATCAGCCACTGAAGGGCAGCATGATCAGTTCTGATAACAAATGCTTTGCCGCACAGGTAGTACTTAAAGTGTCTCACCCCCGCCACCACAGCCAACAGCTCTCGTCGTGTGACACAGTAGCGCCGCTCACTCCTTTTCAGGACCCGGCTGAAGTACGCCACCACCTTCTCCCCTTCCGGCCCAACCTGCGACAACACCGCTCCCAGCCCCACATTACTTGCGTCAGTGTCCAGGACAAAAGGCAGGGTGGGGTCAGGGGGGGCAAGGACTGGGGACTCTGTCAGCGATCTGCGGAGGGTGTCGAACGCCTGCTGACAGTCCTGTGTCCAGATGAAGTCACGGTCCTTCTGCAGCAGGTGGAAGAGTGGTGCGGCTATGGAGGAAAAGCCCTTCACAAACCTCCTGTAATAAGACGCCAGTCCTAGGAAGCTTTTGAGCTGTTTCTGGTCCGCTGGTGTGGGCCACCCGGTAATGGTGTCAATTTTTTCCTCCAAAGTGCTGATGCCCTCACGACCCAGCTTGTGGCCCAGAAACTCCACCTCCCTCCTCATGAAGTGGCACTTGTCGGGATGCAGCTTCAGGCCTGCAGCCGCCACCCTCTCCAACACTTGTCTCAGGGCATCCAGGGCAGCATCAAAGGAGCCCCCGTGCACTAGGAGATCATCCAGGTAAACCAGACACCGTTGCCGTGGGACGCCAGCCAGCACACTGTCCATAAGCCTCTCGAAGGTCGCAGGAGCGTTGCAAAGACCAAAGCTCAGGACTTTGAACTGCCATAGTCCCCTGTTAGTGCAGAAGGCTGTCTTCGGTCTGGATTCCGGGGACAGTGGCACCTGCCAGTAGCCACTCCGCAGGTCCAGGGTGGAGAACCAGGAGGACCCGGCTACTAAGTCGAGAGACTCATCAATCCTGGGAAGGGGGTAAGAGTCCTTCTTCGTCACTTTGTTGAGTGGTCTGTAGTCCACACAGAAATGCATCCTAGGACTTTTTTTCTTAGGCACCATCACCACCGCGGAGGCCCACGGGCTATCAGATGGCTCCTGATGACTTTGAACTTTTCTTGTCCATCTTCCATTGGTTTTAATTTTGCACTCCAGTATGAACACAAATCCCCCAACTCGAGGATCGCCACAACATAACCTAACAGACCTACATCTTAGTTCACAGATTCACTTTGTCTAAAGTGTATTTCTGGGATTTCACACAACCCAGGATTCAAATCATGAATACATAATGGGCTTGGATTTACATCATTATGAATGAAATGTGCTCTATTTGGAAGCAGCAGGGCCCCCTCCCCCTTCGAGGGTTGTGTGAGACTTTAAATCATCAAACTTTAAATTATAAAGTTGAAATTGTTATTGATCCTTTACCCCGAGTCCTAAAGTGTATATTTATTTTCTTACTCTTCTTATATTTATTGTTTGTTTACTTGCACTGCTGTAACTGGAGCCTCGTCGTGTCGTCTCTCTATAACTGGACTGTATGTAGCGGAGATGACAATAAAGTTTTACTTTGACTTCAGCAGCGAGCAGGCGCACCTCGTTAACGGAGGGCGCCCTTACTCCCAGCAAATTGGCGATAGAAAACCGATCGGTGCCTATGCCACTCCCAATACGCGCTGGCTGATGTCGGGGCAGCATGAGTACAAGCAAATTTACTCATGTCGGCAGAACGGGCTCGGGCAGCATGAGAAGGCTACGAGCATTTTTTTTTGCTTGTTTTTTTTTTTTGCCGATGCCCGTGATGCCGCCCCTGTCAGGCTGCTTTTACTGTATGCTCACCGCTGACCCCTTTTCACACTGTGACACGCACTGAAAATCGTGTCACACCTGCCAGCGTTTCCCAGTAGTTCAGAGATGTACAGATATGCAGAGGGAGATGTTGCAGCTGACTCTGTGACCTTCGTAAAAAACCCACCAGGCAGTCTGCCTTTTCTTTGTGTCTTGTGAAAGAATGAGTCTTTCTAAAGAGCTCGCTGAATTAGAGGATGGTGCAAACACTGTCAGATCCGTGGCAACAGATAACATGACAAAGAGGTCAATTTCTACATTTACTCTGCAATAAGTAAGATTGCATCAGTAAGGATGGAGCATGTTTTCGGTTTGTGCAACATGAATGTAATCCATGAAAACTCAGTATTACAAGTCACCGGTGTAATTTACATCAGGGCACCTGGCGGTACTTTCTGCCTGATGGAGACATTTGCTTTCCCTACACCAAGTAGAGAAAGAGCCAAATTACCGAAATGACGCGGAACCGGAGTTTGTACGGCAACTGTACCTGAAAAATGTAGTCAAGAAATGAATTTCTGTGAATCTCTATTGAATTATGCTATAAAACTCGAAAACGCGGAGACAAAGACCTGTGAAGTGAAGTAGTAAAGCTTTAGTTATTTTAGTAAAGAGTTTAACCAATCAAATCGCAATGCGCATGAATCTCCCCACCCCCAACCACCATAATGTCAAACTGCTTGACTGTGACAAGTAGTCATTGAGCGAGTAGGAGGCAGAAGAAAAGCCGACTCTAGCTTTACAGAAAAAGACAAACGAAAAGAAATAAAAGAAGAAGAAGAATCGTCATTTCACTCAGACAGCGGCTCTATATTTGTTATCATCTATTATGTGTACCTGCTGCTCAGACTCAAAGAAACCCTCTTTCATTGTTACTCTCTGGGCTTTTATGCTGTGCTTCATTGTCAGGAGTCCTGCTCAAGGTAAACGGATCCATTTATTAAACCACCTCAGCATCCGTGTGTGTTTGGATCGGCGCCGTAGCTGTTACATTTGTGTTCTGCACTGCAATGAGCGACTTTGCGCGTTTATGTAGACTTAATGTGAAGAAACGTTAAATAATCGAACATTAAAAATCAAATCGTATCTGAAAATATGAGCGTCCCGTCTTTGTGTTGAGATCTAACGAGTTCACACGGCGTTTATTTAAAGCTGGGGTTTACGTTATGGTTGTCTAGCAACCGATAGATGCTTAAACATAAAGAACAGGACAAAAGGACACGTCGGATTATACGAACGAAGAAAGCTGGTTTATTATTAGGAAAATATTCACATAGGAGCAGAATTACAAAGTCTTAATAGCTTTTTAGCTTTTCTGCAAGATATATTTGACTCAGAACTCTTTTATTTTCTTTTTAAGATCAAAAAAAATAGGTTTAGATTTAGAAAATGTATATTTATTTATTATAAAGGACTCCAAGATTAAATCTGAAAAAACCCCAAGAAAACCCCCAGACACTGAAGTGGAGCTCAAAGGTTCAGATAATCTGATAATAATCTGTCTGATCTGATTTGTAAAAGATCAGCCTGTAGCTGGTTAGAGAGGTTTGTGACCTTTCTTCATCTCTTCCTGGTTGTGAGGTTAATTATTCAGCACCTCCTGATGTTTCAGTGACTTGAAGTCATCATTTATGCTCTGATGATATCAGTATGTTGAAGTTTCTCCCAGAAGCAGCTGTTCTCTGTGTTTCCTCTTGACATTAAAAATTAATAGTGAGCTAGAAGGACAACAAGCTGACTGCTTTATTAAATCTGCTGACACTGCATGTGTCTCATCCACAGGCAACAGCTGCTATTTTCCATTTCAACAAATGATTAGCACCACAGAGAGATCAGTCAGAGCCCTGTATCCGCTCTTACTGCACAGACCTGCGATATAACAGGTTAAAAAGTGAAACAAATACTAACCACTCACAGCAGATGGCTGCACCTCCCTGAGGCTGGTTCTGGAGGAGGTTTCATCTCGTTAAAAGGAGTTTTTTCATTCCACTGCCAACTGATTGCCCATTAGAAGAATCGGATTGTTAGTGTTTTTCCAGAAATACTGTAGGATCTTTATCTTACAGTATAGAGCACTTTGAACAGACAATTTTTGTAATTTTAGCACAATATATAAAACGGAATTGAACTGAATCTCTTCACTAAGTTTTTGGGAAAATAAGGCTTTTTTTAAATGAAAAAACAGTTTTTGTATCCCAAGCACAAAAACTCAAACTGTTCAGGTCGTCAGTGTGTAACTCCACAGGGGTCTGTGGGAGTTCGGGAGAATTGATTTTTCGTATTTCCAGGTGAGGTTCTGGTGATTGGTTCAAATCTTCCAATCATCGCCGCTCCAGGTGATGATGTCATCCTGCCGTGTCACCTGGAGCCCACGTTCGATGTCCAGGGTCTGACGGTGGAGTGGTCCAAACCCGACCTGAAGCCCGACCCGTTGGGCCGGCTGAGCCGAGTGGAGTACGTTCACCTGTACAGGGACAGGCAGGAGGTCCCCGACATGAAGATGGCCTCGTACTTCAGGAGGACGGAGCTGTTCATGGACGACATGAAACACGGGAACATTTCACTGAAGATCCTGAACGTGTCGGAGGAAGACAATGGCAGATACAGATGTTTCATCCCCAAGCTGCGGAGCAGAGTCAAGTCTGCTGTTGTTGAACTTGTAGTCGGTGAGAAGATTTGTTTTGTTTTTAACTCATTTCCAACTTTTCAGGCAAGTTTCACAAACAGATTTCGACTCTGCTGGTTTTTGAGGTGTTTTTTGTTTTGTTTTTTAGATCCAAACAATACTAAAAACCTGACGACAGACAGACCACTGCATCCCAAAATCCTCCAAACTCCAAATCCTCAGGACACGACTCCAAGAAATAGTGAGAGTCCAACAGTCCAACTTTCGTCTGCATCATTTCCATTTGAGAGATATTTTTAGTAAAACGTTTTCATACATCAGCAGGTCGGTCCAGGGTCTCTATGGTCATCGTTATCTTTGCCTTTATATCAGTTGTGGCTGTCGCTGCTTCTCTGACCGTGTAAATGTAAGAAAGAAACAAACAGACACAAACTTGTTGTTGATTCTTTGTCATCAGATTGGCTAATTTTTCACCTTCTTTCAACAGAAGCAACCAGAGGATGATGAGACGCAAAGATAACCTGGCATTGTTAGGAACGCTGGTGTTAATGGAGCTCAGAGCGTTAGAGCTTTATCTTCCCTGGATCTTCAGTCAGGTTGGGAATTCAAACCAGCAGCCACAGAGAGACACTCAGGTCCAGCAGCACTGAGATCATCATAAGGTCACTCCTACAAAAGGATGTGAGTCTGACTGGGGTTTGAATCTTGACGCCTCACCTGAACAGCTGTGTGAAGTACACTTATAGAGCCTAAAAACAAATCTAAAATAAAGCCTTGTACTCTTAGGAAACCTTAACACTAAACTAATTTTATATTAAGATCAAATGAATAACAGAGAAGTTTTGCATGTAAGTGGGTTGGGATGCAATGAAGCAATGGTTCTTGGATTTAAATGTGACCTGTGAGGTAATTTTGTTTCCAAAGTGTGATTGTTTCCCACATCGACTCACGTTGGTTAAACTATCTCACTGTGGAAAACACTGAAGGGTTTATTCAAGGTTAAAATAAATTCCAAATGTGCTTCCTGGTGATCATAAAGAGCTCTGGTCAGTGGAAAAACCCCTCCCTCACCAGTTTGAAATGTCAGGTTACAGTTAAACCATTATACTTAGTTTTATTGGAATTATTTTTAGAGTTACTGGAAATTGTTAAATGCAGAACGATCAGCTGGTTTCAAGATATCTTTAACATGTGGTCTCATTATGTAGCTCCAGTAGCTAATAGCATTTGATTTATTTATTTATTTAATTACTTATTTTCCAGCTTTAGTTGTGATCAAGTGCTGGCTGATGTGCATCACCCGCTGGTTTGGAAGGTTGTCCAAGATGATCCCAGCGTCCACTGCAGATCACAGCATGTGAATATCCTGAAGATTTCAAAAGCATCAGCAGCTTTCAAGTGACAAAAACTGGATTTATGGAGTTCATGTAGAGACGTCTTTTGTTTTATTGACTGTATTGTGGAAACGGAGTCTTTGGTAGTTCATTTGATCAGATCTGATTGTTTTTCTTACTTCACATGTTTTCTTTTGTTTGTTCTACCATCTTTAATGTCTCAGTGAAACTGAACTGTGAGTTGAGTACTTGAAGTACAGAAAGACCTCCTGCACTGTGTTAATTAACTCCAGCACTTTGTCAAATGTATGTGCACTGATACAGTGGTTCCTTCATTTAACCACACTTGTATTTAAAAGATATTCTGTAGTGACTGGGTTTAAGGTTAAAAGGAATGGCTAATTTATTACATTTATTTTTGAACCTACTACTTGAAAGGTTGGTGGTTCGATCCCTGTCTGCTCCAGTCTGGATGCCAAATATCTGTAATATAATCTATCATTTTCTTATACAGCCCTCTATCAGCCTTTTCCTTTACCCCCTCTCTCTTTGCCTATCAGTGCTACACTCTGCTTTTTCCATCTGCCTGGCTTTCCCACTTTTTCTTATCTAACCTCTTTCTTTGAATATTTTCCCGTACTTCCTCATACCACAGCAAACTTTCAGTGTCTTCTTTCCTCTGTCCAGAGTTTCGCTCAGCACTACGGCTCTATTTTTCCCAGTCATCTGATAACTCTTCCCTACCACCCAGAGCCTTTCTCAGCTCTTATCTGAACTCTATGAAATATTCTTCTTTCCTCAGCTTCCACCATAAACTCCTTGGATCTCCCTTCGTTTCCTCTTCTAACTGACGTCCAACCTGTGGGACAAACGCTCTGACAACTTTCAACAACGTGCTGAAATAATGCCAAGTGTCCTTCCTGACCCATGCCTCCCCCATGTCCCTCTTATGATACGCCAAAATCCACACTAATATGCATACGTAAAAAGACAACACAAATTTGACAATGCAGCGTTATATTCAGTATTGGGTAAACAATATATAAGTATTTTTGTAGACTGAGAGATTAAAAAATGCGTCAATGTGAATAACTGAGTCATGGCTCGGGCTGACGGTAGACAGCTGAATGAATTTGAAGCGACATATAATCCTTAACTTGTTTGATTTTAGGTGCTCACCACCAAAAGATTGCTACAACAATCTGAGGGAGCTTTAACCTGGTTACCTGGTTGTGTATCTGCTCTCTGAATTGTATCATGCTGCTGATCTTCTTTCAGGTCATTTGAGTTTTTTAACATTCGTCAGTGTGTTTTCCTTCTTATTACCTGTTGGCATCTTGCTTTGATTTTCCGTGAACAATGTAACAGCACCATCCCTCAGATGTGTGCTATGTGAAGAATTTTTAAACACTTTTACAGTTTAGTAAAAAAAAATAAAAAAATAAAAAAATACACAGCTCCTGCTGCTCGTCATCTTCGCTCACAGACTCAGAGTCTGCTGGTTGTTCCCCGCACAGGACTGAAGACAAAAAGGGGACAGAGCCTTTCAGTCTGTTGCACCAAGTCTGTGGAATAGTTTACCACTATTACGTTTTAATATTTGTGTACAGCGCTTTGTGACCGCCTTTCTGTGAAAAGTGCTTAATAAATAAACTTTACTTACTTCCTTACATTGCTTTGGTATCTTATAATCTCGTGTTTTTCTGTTTCTCTTACATTTTACTTCCTAATAAAATATGAGAATGTTCAAACAACATTTAGAATGACATCATAGTTAATTTCTAGACACTGCTACTTCACTGGTGATTACAACACAGCGTCAGTCACTCACTAGTCACAGAGCAAACCGGAGCTGTGGGACTTGTTTTGTTGTCATGACGACCGTTTGACACGCCCTTCATGGAAAAAATTACGCATGACGTTTTAATAAGAGCGTCTCCCTGACAGCCACTCAGCAGTCACGTTTAGGAGCGGAGGAAGTCCGAGTCGCCCCGTAGGTCTCTGCACTTGTTGTTATGTCCCGGCTCAGCTCGTCTTCTTACACTTTTCCACTCTGGACTTTAATCTTGTGCTCGGCTTTCTTAATCGCACCTGTTCAAGGTAAACCGATGTTTTACTTAAACTCTGCTTTCAGCTTGAAACTAAAATGTAACTTTTTGAAATTTGGATCAAACTGAATTCACTGTTAGAACTTTGTCTTTTATATGCGGCGCTGATGGCAGCCGTCAGTGAGTGTGTGACGACCCATAGGCAGACACTGATAATGACCTTTGCTGTTCAGTTCAGCGACCGTATCTTCATTCATTTGAAGTGTGATCGTAGTCAAATGTTATTGGAAACTATGATTGCGATGTGTGCATTAAATTTTCATATTTAAGGAAGACATTGGAGTTAAACTATTCTCAGCAATGCTGCAAACTCTGAACAAATGCAGTATTATAGATACATTTAACTTCCAATAGCACCTTATGTACTTAATGGGAGGGGATTATGTCATGATTTATAATGTGAAGTATTTATAGTTAGTTGGTCCAGAGTGTAAATATTCTCAGCTATGCTGCAAAATCTGAGCTCCTGGTAGTTTAAACACTGTCATGAGCTGGATGACTAAGAAACTACTGATGGATTTGACTTGAGTTATTCCACTTTAAGGTCTTTTATCTCTACTTTTTACCTATTATTAACTTATAACTTTAATGTTGAGAATAGCTGTACAGTTTTTTCATTTGAAAATTTAGAAAGTGCAGAAAACTATGACAATAACTGCACAGAGGCTCACGGGGCTGTTAATGATCTTCAAGTCTTCGGTCTGTGAGAGTTCACAATGTTTAATTTTCCATCTGTTTCCAGGTGAGGTTGTGGTGATTGGTTCAAATCTTCCAATCATTGCTTCTCCGGGTGATGATGTCATCCTGCCGTGTCAACTGGTGCCCATGTTCGATGTCCAGGGTCTGACGGTGGAGTGGTCCAAACCCGACCTGAAGCCCGACCCGTCGGACCGGCTGAGCCGAGTGGAGTACGTTCACCTGTACAGGGACAGGAAGGAGGTCCCCGACATGAAGATGGCCTCGTACTTCAGGAGGACGGAGCTGTTCATGGACGACATGAAACACGGGAACATTTCACTGAAGATCCTGAACGTGTCGGAGGAAGACAACGGCAGATACAGATGTTTCATCCCCAAGCTGCGGAGCAGAGTGAAAGCTGCTGTTGTTGAACTTGTAGTCGGTGAGGAGATTTGTTTTGTTGATGTTTGCAGTTCCAAACTAAAATTCAAACACTCTGATACTTGTTTTGTGTGTTTTTTCTGTACCGTTAGAAAATTTTTGTCTCAATTTTACTAGCAGATTATAACTCTACTCTTTCTTTTTTTGCATCTTTTAGATCCAAATGTTGCAAAAACCTCAACAATGGCACCACTACATCCCAGAAACTTCCCAACTCCAGATCCTCAGGACACGACTCCAACAAATGGTGAGAACACAGTCCAACTCTTCTCTGCATCATCCCTGTTTGGGGTTTTGTGCATTTGTGGTGACCTTCTTGTCTTTTCTACATCAGCAGGTCGATCCAGGGTCCCTGTGGTCGTCATTGTCGTCACCTTATTATTAGTTTTGACTCTCGCTGGTTTTGCTGCATATTTCTCTCGCATTTTTCAGAAACTAAAAGTAAGAAACAAACAAACAAACACAAACATGTTTTTCCTTCTTGTGCCGTTAGACTGACTCATTATTCAACTTCTTTCAGCAGAAGCATCAAAAGGACGATGAGACACAAAAACAACCACTGCAAGTCTAGAAGTGTAGATCTTCAGTCAGATTGGGGATTCAAACCAGCATCCACAGGGAGACACTCGGGCCCAGCAGCACTGAGATCATCATAAGGTCACACCTACAAAAGGATGTGAGCCTGATTTGAATGGATGTAAACAGGAAATATTTCTTACAGACGTCTTCAGTCAGAGTTGCTGCTGTCAGACTCTGGAGGATCTGCTTGGAAACATCAGTGAAACTGATGGATTTCCTCCTTCAGTACAAAACTGAAGTTCAGCCTGGAGAAGAAACACTCCTCTGCCTCACTGTCAGCATGTTTAATGAATATTTATTTAGTTTTTACCTCACTGGTTAAGGTGCACTTAAATCTTTTAGTGAGACCTCAAAGTGTCTCTGATGGACAAATTAAAGGGTTTAAATCCTCCCTGATCATCACTGTGCTGGACTGACATGAATCATTCTCAAACCTCAGCAGGGCTGGAAGATTTTTCATAGCATTAAAGGAAATTTCCATGAATATGGACGTTTGTGACACAGATAATGTGGAAAGATGAAAATAAAACATCACCTGAACGCTGTGATGGAAACTGACGTCACTGTATGAATGCAAACTTTGTTAGTACAGTTTGAGTTCTGACTGTTTTTCTTACTTCACATGTTTGTAGACTTTGTCTACCATCTTTAATGTCTCAGAGAAACTGAAGCTGAACACTTTAAGTAACTGCTGCACTTTATAAACAGAAAAAAAAGCTGATTTATACTCTAGATTTTTAAAGCTACAACTAATTTATTACATTTACTGTGAAACTTCCTGCTGGTTGGGACTCGATGTTCAGACTGTAACCTTATAGTCTGATTTGTGACTTTGTGCTTTCACTGCCTTTAAGTCAAAGTCAGTGTTTGTGTGATGAAACAAGCTTAAACTTCATCACGAGAATAAAAACATTTAAATACTGAACTGAAAGAGTTTCTTGGATTCTTTGATTTTCAAGCCTCTTCTTGACATTTTGTTACAATTTGTGTGTTTTCTTGTTTTTACGACTAATACCCCGTCCTATTAATTTAATTGTTTTATATAAGTTATTTATTTATTGTCGTCATGTGTCGTTTCCTGTTTGCATTTGATGATGTTTTCAAAACAGTTGAACCAAATGAACTGTTTAAAAATGTGACTGTTTGTTTCATAGAAATTAAAATGACCCACTGAGTTTACTGTTGTTGTTCCATGTTCTTGAATAACATCAGTGTTCTGTGAACATGATGACGAAATCAAATAAATGAGCAACAGTTCGTCATCACAGTGTCTGCTGTCTGTTTCTTCTTCAGCTCTTCATCACACTCACTCTCATTTCACTGATTTGTTTAACAGCACTGCTGAAAACTCATTTGGTGTCTGTTGGTGACTGATCATGTGACTGATCATGTGAGTTTTGAAAGGTTCTCTATAAATCAAGTTATTATTACTATTTATGAAGGACATTCAGAGCTCTTCTTTAGATGTGGGCAGATACAGGTTTATAATTGTTAATGTTTTACAGTCACATGTTTTCAATGATTAAAGGGAACGAGATGTCAGACGAACACAACAGGAACACGGTGATCACAGCTGCTCCTCCAAAGGACGCACAACAGTTTCATAGGCTTGTAGATAGAAGACTCTGGGCTTACGTCTCACTGCATCTGAGACAGTGTGAAAGGACTTAACAGCCTTATTATGTTTAGAGTGACACAACCAAGCTCAGGTCTATTTGATTCTGGTAATAATTAATTATCCTTGAATTTAATCAGAATATAATAAAAAAAATGAGTCAAAATCAAATCAGTGAGGTTTAATCAGAATATCATTATTACTGTGAAATGTTTCCATGTTTCCAATACCTGAAACCTGACGACCTGACCTTTTACTGGGATTTGACGCACGTGTGTACGATGTTTAGATATCTTTGTGAGGACTGGTCCCCGCGAGTTTTAAGGCATTTTTGAGATTAAAAATGTGGTTTTAGTGTCGGGGATTCGGGTTAAGCATTCATTTTTGATGGTTAACACTATATCAGTTAGGTGTGTGTGTGTGTGTGTGTGTGTGCGTGTGCGTGTGCGTGTGTGTGTGTGTGCGGCACAGTCCAGATGTTGTCTGTGGACTTTGGTAATTGGTCAGAAGGACCAAAGCAAACCTTCAGAAATTGTCTGACATGTATGATGAAATAAACCTGATATTAATTATGCTGTGATTGACAAACACAGAACCACAGAGCTATCACATGTCAGTCATGTGTGATTGAGTTAAAAAGAAGTAACAAGAAACATTGTTGTGTGTTGTAATCATAAAGAGAAGCAGTGTATTGATGTCATGTTAAAGTGTATCCACATGTGACTGAGCTGATGAGAGACAGAGTCACGCTGAAGTGCAGCAGAGCTGATAGCTGGGTGAGAAATGTAACCGGCGTAATGAAGTGATCTTAATGTTTAACCTTTGCTTCGACTCATGCCATAAATAACACATTAGCTCATCCTGAGTGATCTGGGATACAGTCACGTTCAGTCATGTGATGGTGTCATGTTTGATCATAGTGGGGATGCCCACAGTGAGACTTAATCACAGTCTGGGAGTGAGGGGGATTCCCCCCCTCTGGTCTACCTGCCCCTTCTTCTGCTTATGAACCCAGGTGGAAAGACCCCCACATTCCCCACTTCTGATTTTTAGCTCTGCTTTTCAAAACAGTCCTCGGCTCAAGCAGCAATAAAATCACACTTTCACTTTCAGCAGAGGGGGAGCCGCTTCAGTGCATGATCAGGATCTCATTCTATTTCTCCTTTTTATTCACTTTTTAACCTGTGTGGACTTTTAACAGGAGCAGAAATCCCCTAAATTTCATTCTCTTAGCTTATAATTAGACAAAAACATATAAAAAATAAACAATTTAAAACATTTATACTGTTGGTGCTTCAGATGTTTGTACTTTTCTGACCTGGATCTATGTAGATGGATGTTAGATCCATCCATCATGGCAGCAAATTTTTAGTTCAGTGTTTGTTTAAGTGCTTTTAGTTATTATGTTTAATTACTGTCAGAGACAAGCTTCAGGAAAACTAGTGCAGGTGTTACAATAACAGCAACTTCCTGAAAGCAGTTCATAAGTTTAAAAAACATTATGAAAAAAGTATGTAAAATTATGTGTTCACAGAGTCTCAACAAACCTGATTATCGATGTCTCATCGGGCAAACACTAAAAATAAATGTAACACACACACAAAGATTGGAGGTCTCACCATCTGTCTCAGCTGTGGGAAAAAGAGGAAAACTAACAAAACTCTAAAAGATCATTTATTAGTACAATGATGATAAAAATGGAAGGATAAACAGGCCAGTGTCACACTAACTAAACATAACTAAATGGATAAAACACATGGTCCAAGGTCAGAGCCAGCTACACCATGAGTCACACTTTACATGTAGATCTGTCCTCTAAGACCCATCACCCTGTAAGTAGAGGCACCCCGGCCTCAGCAAACCAACTCTGTGTACAAAGTGTGTGTTACACTGTAGTGAAAGCTTTGGGGGGAAAGCAGAAGTAAAACCAGGTGATAGAAAACACAGAAAAGTGTCAGTTGTGGTTTTCATGTTGGATCTTTTAAAAATATTTGGCTTTTCTGTTCTCGTTTCTTTGCTCCTGGTGAACTTCTCAGCAAAGGTGATCTGAAGAAGATGCCTGTAAACGTCATCAATGATGGACAAAGAGAGGCTCAAAGCCGTCTCACAGCGACACCTCCTGGCCAATGTGGGCATCACATCTTGATGACGCTATTCCGTGACAAAGTGACAGAGAAAAGCTCAGCACAACTCCCAACAACACTACTTATTATAGACTATCAATAAGTATGATCAACACATGTTTTGGAGAAATCGTCCTACAAACAAGGAACTACAAATATGGAGGCTGTGACTGTAGGCACTGTGTTCTCCCTCTGGCAACATTTATGAGGCTGTTTCAGTTGCTTAGTAACTCAGTACAAGGTGCAGTGGAAACAGCCCATAAATAAAGTATACTGAGCAAACACTGCTGTGGTTACTGTGTGTGTGTTCTTCCCTTTGTTTGGATTCAGCCAGCTTTGTTTTCTTCTGCCACCCTGCTCACAGCCTTGGGGGGGGGGCTCAATGCTTGGATGTGATTGGTTGACTTTTAAGCTGTCTGGGATTTAGTGTCATCAGGTTTGTTCTGCACACTACCAAGGAAAGCTTAGTGTTAGGTTTTATTTTCAAATAATTCAAAAATAAGTATTTAAAATACATAAATTCCTAAATGTCTTTTCCAAGAGACAAATTCTTTCCAAGTTCAGCTTTGTATCATCTTTCATGTCTCATGGATCAATGCCTTTTAAACCTGAGCAACACCTCAACCTGAAGGATTTAATCGTGTTTCAGAAATGCAAAACTTTTTAAAAACACAAGTGATGCACAAATCCCCAAAACACCGTACAGTCATTGGGTAACAACAACAACACTTTTAATAATAAATAAATAAAGCTGAGAACACAGCACTTTGATTCTGAGTTAAAAGTCAATAAATAAAAAGAGTTTAACAGGTGTTTTGGAAACAGCCAATGAGATCCTCAGTGTGTTGTTGTTGTTTTAAACAACAGTTTCTGATTAAAGTAGAAAATGAGAACAGTCCGGAGTCAAAGCTGAACATTTCTGCCTCTTTTATTTTCCCTTCAGTAAATACTTTAATATTATAATGTGGAAAAATAAGTGTATGCAGTGGCAGGTACTTAGAGTATTGTCACATGACCAGAGCTGTTTACTTCCTGGTCTTCGAGAAAGTGGATGTCCACGGAGAAGCTGCCAAAGAAAAGGTCAGTAAAGGACGTTAAAATACACGGAGGGCAAATATTTTTGCTACACGTGATTTTTATGGTGTCTGCAGTGATGTTATACTCACCTGTGATTACTCGAAGTTGTGTTTGCAGCAGAGTTTAGTGTTAACGGCCACAGAAGTTCGTTCGTTTCTCTGTATTGTTGTAGTGGGGACATCGTGTGTTTGAGTCACGGCACAGAAACACAGAGGGACAGCTCTGATTTTTATTGTAAATGTATAAAAATCATTTTAATGAGCAGAGCTTTCTTTTTTCTCTGCACACAATACTGACATGTGACACGCTGCGGGTGGAGGAGGTGAGTGGGTGAAACCATGACCCTGCAGATTTTAGTCAGAGTTGCTTTTCTATTTGAAAGATTAATCATGTTAAATTCCTGAGTGAATCGTGATGTTTATCAGCTGCTGTTCTTGAAACACAGCTCTGATCGGACCGAGCCTGAAACAGAATCAGGATATGACGAAACTTTCTTTCTCTCTTTTGTTATTCAAGTCAAACGTTACAACAAAACGTGCCTGTTTGAGTCTTGAACGTTGAATAGAAAAGTGAGTCGATCCCTAAACGCTGATTTTGTTCATCTGAACGTTTTCAGTGTGAGAAACATTTCGTCACTCATCCAAGTGATTTCTTCGTTCCCAGCTGACTGCAGGTTTCTTGTAAACGCTTTATAATGTTGGGGAAACCTGGCACATCAGCTTTTAAATATCCACCATTATTGGTGGAAATTTCACAGTCTAAGAAGGGCAACCTGCCTTCATATCCTCCCTGGTGTATGTGATGTGTTCGTCCAGCTAGTTGCTGTGAATTGTGGTACGTCCTGAGATTTGATTGTCACCCAGGTGTCGTCCACATACCTGAACCAATGACTTGGTGGTGATCCAGGGTAGCACAGCCCTCTGAGATAACAGCAGGGTTAGAGAGTCAGTGTCTGTGCCAATAACAATCCAAATAAAGTCATTTATGAGACTGAGACTGTCTTCCTGTGATAGTGAGAGTGAAAGTATGAAAGCATGCAAACACCGCCCTGAAACTTCCGTTACATCACCAGGTAACTCCTATTTATAAACAATGATGATATCATCAAGGAAATAAGGAAATGACTGAGTGAGTTTACAGTGTTTATGCTGTGAGAGCTCAGTGTCGCCAGATGGGCTACTCACTCGCCCTATTGCTCTCGCTCTCTGTTTGTCACGTGTACACTAATTGCAGCGTGGCGCCTGCACTGCCTCGCAGGTTTCCTCCCGTTCATTCCTCCCTTGCCTCCTGCAAGCAGCATTGCGAGCGGATATATCATCAGGATAAACCGGGTGGTCTTGGTCGGGCTACGCCACAGCCACAGGTAGGCTGCACGTTTGTCCTGCGATTCTTTCTTTTTTGGGACATTTGAGTTGTATAGTGACACATTTGTGGTCCCAGCGTGGCCGCCTTATTCCTTTTTGACTCCAGCTGTCGTGGAGAGAGGTAGTTGCTGTATTTAAGCAGATTCAGTATAGCGACTTCAGTCCTGAGGTAAGCATCCTGACTGCTAACCAGAGGAGGTTAAGTGCTAAATGCGTTTTTCAGGCTCTGTCTGCTGCTATAAACCTCTCCTCAGCAGTTTGTGTTCCAGCCTAATTGAACTATAGAAACTTCTGTAGCAGCCGCTGGTTTTGGACCCTGCTGTCTTCTCCCAGTTGGTTTTATTTTTATTGGTTTCATTTTCTTTCACTTTGCCTTGTTTTATTTAGTTTATTTGTGGACTGTTGTTTATATTTGTGCCCACGCGGCCGGGCCAGAGTGATCCCCTGCCCGTGTGTGGTGCTGGTTCTTTGTTACCTCTGTACCGACCCAGCTGATTTGCTCCGGGAGCTGTGGAAGATTCCTCTTTATGTGAGTGGCCACGATCAGTATTTTAACCACTGTAACCAGTATAGATCACTCTTCACACGAGTGGTGTTTGACTTTTTGTCTTTAAGCTCGTGTTTGTGTCGACCAGCAACACTCATCATAAAAGTGTTACCAGTGTTTGTTTACATGACTCTCCCTCTGAGGGAATCCCTCTGATGACATCAGACATGAGAGATGTTTATGAAAGCGTGTGAGAGGTCATGTGGAATGACTGACACAGCCAGGGACAGGTCAGGCGATAGGTCATGAGTGTATGACCAGTTTCAGACTGAACTGCTTCTCTCTCTCTCTCTCTGCAGTTTTTATTTTTCTTTAGTATTTTCTAATACTTTCACTTCAGCTTGGAACATTTCATTTGTTCAACATCAGCTTGATTTAAGCTGCTAAATCTAAAACAACTGTGGGTCAGTAATAACTAATCCATCAGTGTTTGCACCTAAACCTCTCACTGCTTGGCTGCAGCAGGAGAGGCGTCCTTCAACCTGACGAAACAAGATGACCTCTCACCTTTATCATTAACACACTGAGGCTGTATCAGTCCCACTCCCAGTGACAATTTCACAGTTATCACCTGACCTAAATAATTTTATGATCAACTTATTCATTGCTAACATGTTTAGGAGCCATTCATGATTAAAATATGTGTTACAGTGTAGTTATAGTTAGTTGTTTTATTGTTCTGTTTCGTCACAGTTTCCAGCTGTGTTCACTTTATCTGCAAACATTTCATGTGTTCACACAACAGCTGGATTCAAAGATGTAAATCCAGAAAACTGTTCCAGTAATAAAGTAAACACACTGCTGAAAATAAGTGAACAGGATTCTTTTGACACTTAACGTTTAAAAAATATTATATGAAGGTAGCGAGGAAAAAAATCGACTGGAATAGAGCACAGATCTAAGACCAGAGGAACGAGCTCTGTCGTTGTTCATTCAGCGTTTACTTTGTTTGGTAAACAAGGAAGGAGTTCCCTCTTCATTCCTTTTGGTGACGAAAAGGAATGAACTACAAATAACAGAGTTATAAATAGCTCATAATGTTTCAGAAACTACGTCACAATAGAGTGTCTCCCAGCGCAACACAGTTTTTCATGACTCCTGAACTCTCCAGTAATAAACCTGCTGTGTTATATTTAGACTCAAACAATATTTAAAGGCGCTGCTTAAATGGCACAAAATGTGTTAAAGTGTGAATCTGAATCTTCTCTGCTGAGCTTTAAAAGACAAACTGTGAGTATCTGAGTGAGTTTTTATGTTCTTAATGTTCTCATCTGTGTAAATCCACATAAGTGTGTTTCAGTAAAAAGTCATAAGGAATCATAAAACTGCTGCTGGAAACAAAGCAAATAATGAATCTGGGTCACAGATCTCGACCAGGTGTTGGTTGGTGGATGTTGCACCCAACAACCAACACCCATCATAAAAGTGTTTCCTGTGTTTGTTTACATGGTTCTCCCTGCGTAGTGAAGCAGGAGGGAATCCCTCTGATGACATCAGATGTTATGTAAAAGATGTTTATAAAAGCGTGTGAGAGGTCGTGTGGAATGACTGACACTCCCAGTGACAGATCCACTGAGAGTTATCGCCTGACCTGAGATCATGAGTTCATGACCAGTTTCAGACTGAACTGTTTTTCTGGGTCGTTGCTTTGCAATAAAGGGCCTGACAACTGTTGTTGTAAAATACACACACACACACACACACACGCACACGCACACACGCACACGAAGTTGGTGGTTTGATCCTTGGCTCCTCAAATCTGCATGCCATCAGTTTCTTGGCAGTGTACAGTTAAGGTTCTTCTAGGTTCAGAGGTCTGCCTCTTTGAAGACGTCCTTATTAGGTTCATCAGTTATTCTAAACTGGATGTGAGGAAACTAAAGTGCTTGAAGTGCTCAGATTAAAGTGCAGCATGGAGATAAAAATCTGACTTGTGGTTAGAAACACTTTGAGTGGCAGTAAGACTGAAATCAGAGCAGAGATCATGTGATCCACCTGAGCTGCCATTTTTGTTTTGTGTTCTTGTTTTTCCTTTAAAACATGAACCAGAGTATCAGGAGATTCATAAAAACATAACATCTATAAATATGCATACTTCATAATCTGACTGCTGATCTCAGTAAGTCAGCAGTTTGCCTGAGCTCAGATTGTCACATGTGATCAAAGAGGAGCCAAAACTGCACTTTTTAATGACAGAATTTCTTAAAGTGATCTAAAAATGTAACATTATTCAACATTAAATACTGAAGGGACCTTCAGATCAGTCTGACCTTGAAGAAGAGGTCAGAGGTCAAATGAGACATAATATTTTGACTCATTTTACAGAGCGTTCTGTATGATGATACATGTCACACTTGTAAGAGTCACAGTTTCATCAGAAGTTATGAGGCTTTTTGTCAAACTTCCACCAATAAACCAACAACATCCACCGCTTCCTCCTGTAAATCACGTCTGTTGGTTTTAAATCAGAGAAGTTCCTGTTAGAAAAAGCTGCTGAACTAATGAGAGATGAAGCACGTTTACCTATTTTATACAAACTGATGCCACGTGTTGTCTTAAGCAGGATTTACAGTCCAGCTGACGCAGCGCTGTCAGCTCTGCTCCAGGGAAAAGTTAATAAAACAAAGTTTTCTCTGAATAAGTTTTTTATTTCCAGAGCAAATTTTCTTATTTCAACTTAGTTTTTATTGCTTAAAAATGTTTCATTTTTCTTGGTTTCAGTCTAGTTGTATTTCTTTTAATTATTATCATTTAGTGTTGCATAGAGCGCAAATGTCAGAGACAAGATTTAGGTAAACCAGTGCATGTGTTACAGTAAAAACCCACTGAGGTTTATTTCACTCTAATAGTCTTGGATTGTCCAGGCCGCCTGCGGTGAGATTAGTTCCCAGTAGAGGCAGTGGCCAAAAGTAGTGGTTGCTACATGCAGTCTGTAGGAAACACGTGTGCTGTAAGAAGAAGTGAGAGTGAGAGTGTATTCCCCTCAAACTTTGCTGCCATTAATACATCATCTGCTTCCAGTGAAGCACAGACTGTAAACAGCTGCAGAAACAGGATGTTCGTGTTGTTGGAGCTTCTGTGGAGCTAACTGATGTTGTTATTGAGAATTCATCCATTTAATTAATGTCAGAGAAACTCAAAGTATGAGTCCTGATTTTATTTTAGACATATTAAACATAATGGTAGCACTTATATATTAAAGCCACACTATTAAGCATAAATAAGGTATTTAAAACGTGGTTAATTCATAATTTATATATTATTACTCCTCTTTGGTATGTTATTAATAAATACATATATTATTATGACTCTGATTATGGTTGTTATTAGCAGTGATGTAATACATGGTGTATACAAATACAATATCTGTATTGACTAATAGCATATAAGGAGCAGTGCAGTGCTGCCAGCACCAGTTTAACCAGCAGAGCTTCCATTGTTCTCTGCACTGACATGTCTGAGCATTTATACTGGCAGGTGGAGGATGTTACATCATCACAACATTGTAAACAGCGTTGAATCTTTGCTGCAGCTTTGATCTCACAGAGAAATGATCAAACTCACCTTCTGTATCTAACAGATTATTGGATTGATTAAATAGTCATATATCCAAGTTAGTCTGTGGATGCTGTGCTACATACTGCTGAGTCATTAATGACACAGCACGTTTTTGTTTTTCTATTATGAAAGTTCAGACTCGCTTACTTCACCTGACAGGTCGGCTTGTTTTTATTTTTGCTCAGTGAGACACATTATAATGTCTGAGTCTTCAAACTGAACAGAAAGTGAGACCGAGCAGACTAGTTACAAACTGAGACTCGGAGTTTCTATAGAAATGATCCAAGTACAGAGTAATTTTTGTGATGCGTTAAAGCGCGACCGGCACGCAAACGTCACATTGAGATTTCCGTTAACGTCGTCACGTCATGGGACTTCATAACAAGAGCAACACTCCAGGGCTCAGTTAACCCCACCCAGATTGCAGGAGGCGGAGACTGTTATCTAAAAAGGGAGATCCTCACGGCTCATTCACTCATTCAGAGCGAAGCAGGCAGGGACTGATCAGACTACAGATTTCCCAAAAAAAAAAAAACTCGCTTCAGTCAGAAAACGGAATTTTTAATCATCGATCATGTCTCTGAACAACTTCTACTTTAAGGACTTTTCCTTTTTCTCACTCTGGACTTTTCTCCTGTGCTCGGCTTTGTCCGTCTGGACTCCCGTACAAGGTAAGCCGACGTGTCCAGCTTTAGCTGCGTGTTAGTGCAGATTACAGTGAATTTTAATCACATACTGGCGGATGTGAATAAGCTGAAATGACTGTTATCAGCTGTGCTGTGTTGTCCGTCACTAACAGTGTGACAGCTGTCAGTGAGTTACTTTAAAATCGGAAGAAGCTTAAAACAAGAAGATAGTCAGAACCTGCCTGACAGTGTGAGGTTTGTTTATAACGGACAGAATGGCGATGATTCACCGAGCAGTCTGTGAGCAGGTCAGGTTTATGAGAGCCGTGTGTTTGTCAGAGGAGAGAAAGAGCAGAGTTACAAAACACAACGTCCGGTGAGCCGAAACTAAAACCCTGTTTATTGATCCGGAGTGATGCAGATTCAGTCCGCACATGCTGCTGCTGACTACATGTGTTTCCACAAGCTAATGTGTTTTCTATAAAAACACATTAGCTTGACAATCATGACCCCATCAGGAATTACATCTGACTGCCGACGTGGCTCGTTCGTCCAATCAGGTGTCTGTGCGTGTTTTGTAGTTTACTCTGGATTTGTAGTTTAAAATTTTTTAATAAATGAAATTAGTTGGTTATTAAATCTGAACTCGCAGCGAGGTTAAACAGTCAGTCTTAACAAGTAAATAATTAGAAGGGCAACATGAATCAGTGAAAACAGCAGACTGTGTGATGGTTGACTTAAATCAGCTTGATACAGTAAAACTTACTGAGGATGAGTCACATGAACTATTATTATGAATAAATACTTGTGTTGTTTCTTAGAACTTGGATGAGCATCAGTCTGATCAGTTTGTGTTGTTAAACTTTAATAAACACGTTATTGCTTGATAGTTTTATTATAGTGAAATAAAATGTTCACTTTAAACAGTTTTTATTCATTATCAAGAAAAGCATAAAACATAACAAAGCAGACAAAAAAGAAAGAAAAGAAAAAAACCCCAAAGGGAATATATTAAAGTCATTACATACCTGTACAAATTCACATATGGGGTAAAGAGGAGAGAGAAAAAAACAACATTTTCACTCAATTAGCCACAGATTTAGAAAGAGAAAAAGATAAACTCCAAGAGTGAATTGTTGTCCTTTACGCTTACTTCCCATTTAACTGAGAACATCTTAATCACAACCACCCCCCCTCAACAGTTGGGACAAATCATTTGGCAAATAAGAAAGCAAAGGGGACCCAACATTGAGAAAGAGACCCTCATTTCCTCCTAAAATAGCAGCAGTTCTTTCGTGAGGAATAACTTTAAATAATTCTCTGTACCACAAAGTCACAGAGGGAGGTTTATCCTTAACCCAATTAATGAGAATACATTTCCTAGCTACCAGCAATAGTTTGTCACATAATTTGCGCTGCAAGTGATTCAATGTTACTTCTTTTGAGGGTAGGCCAAGAAGAAAATACCCGGGGTCTCTTTGAATCAGATTGTTAAAAATATTACTTAGTTCTTGAGATATGAAGCTCCAAAATCTTTTGATTAATTTACATTCCCAAAAGTAATGAAAAAAAGTGCCAGTTTCTTTTTGACATTTACTACAAAGATGGGAAATATGAGGTGCACTCTTATGCAAGACATTAGGAGCTATATAAAGGCGATGTATGATTTTTGTATTGGGTTTCTCGCAAGCGGTTGCAAGTAAAAGTGGAATTACCCATGTTAATGGCTCCTTTCCACTCCTCTTCGTTATATTGATTATTAAGATCTCTCTCCCATTTATGAATAGCGCTCAATCTGTTGCTACTGAGAGTATATAGGAGAGAATTAAAGGCTGAGATAAAATGAGTTCTGTCTTTTCGCTTAATAAGAAATGTCTCAATATCATCATATATAACTATTTCTGAAGACTGTGGAATTCTAGAATGAACGAAGTTACGAACCTGGAGAAAGCCAAAAAACTGGTCTCTAGGAATATTAAAATTTGACTGCAATTGCTCAAAGTTCATCAGTGTGATGTTTTGATACAAATCGCCAATTACCCTTAATCCCTTTTTCTGCCACTTATCGAACATACTGCGAGACATTCCTGGAACAAAATCTTTGCTTCTCAGTAAAGGAGTCAAGAATGAAGTGCAATCTTCTCTACCCAACCTTTTACACATTTCCCCCCAGACCCTTATTGTATTATAAATGATTGGGTTATTCTTAATCCCCATTTGTAATATTGTTTTTGAAATAAAATGTTAGAAATTCAGGACCACAGACTGTACACACAAGGGTCAGTTAGCCTGTAACAGAACAACAAACAGCACATGTCTGAAATTTTGTTGCGTATATTAAGAAAGACTTGCATAACAGCACAGAGGCCAGTGGGGCTGTTCATGATCTCCAGGTCTTTGGTGTGTAACTCGACAGGGGTCTGTGGATGTTCTGTAGGAGTTCAGGAGGTTTAATTTTCCATCTGTTTCCAGGTAAGGTTCTGGTGATTGGTTCAAATCTTCCAATCATCGCTGCTCCTGGTGATGATGTCATCCTGCCGTGTCACCTGGAGCCCACGTTCGATGTCCAGGGTCTGACGGTGGAGTGGTCCAAACCCGACCTGAAGCCCGACCCGTCGGACCGGCTGAGCCGAGTGGAGTACGTTCACCTGTACAGGGACAGGAAGGAGGTCCCCGACATGAAGATGGCCTCGTACTTCAGGAGGACGGAGCTGTTCATGGACGACATGAAACACGGGAACATTTCACTGAAGATCCTGAACGTGTCGGAGGAAGACAACGGCAGATACAGATGTTTCATCCCCAAGCTGCAGAGCAGAGTGAAAGCTGCTGTTGTTGAACTTGTAGTCGGTGAGAAGATTTGTTTCGGTCATGTTTGTGGTTCCAAACTCAAAGTTGTTTTTTTTCTCAATACAAACTTTCAGCCTAATTTTAATAACAGATTTTGACTGTTTTGTCTTTTAGATTCAAACTTTGCTAAAACCTCAGAGACGCCGCTGCAAACTCCAGATCCTCAGGACACGACTCCAACAAATGGTGAGAACACAGTCCAACTCTTCTCTGCATCATCCCTGTTTGGGGTTTTGTGTATTTGTGGTGAACATCTTGTCTTTTCTATGTCAGCAGGTCGATTCAGGGTCGCTGTGGTTCTTATCGCTTTTATATCAGCTGTAGCTGTTGCTGGTCTTACTGTATATTTTTGCTGCCATCATCAGCATCAAACTGTAAGTAAGAAACAAACAAATAAACACAAACTTGTTGTTGCTTCTTGTGCCGTCAGAATGAGTCATTATTCTCCTTCTTTCAGCAGAAGCATCCAGAGGAGGATGAAACAGAAACACTACCAGTCTAGCTGCTTGCTCAAAGGAGTGTCGGTGTTAATGGAGCTGAGAGCAGCAGAGATTTATCTGTGCTGGATCTTCAGTCAGATTGGGGCCTCGTCCGGTTTATTTATCGAGCTCATTTTCACATAAAGAAAGTGACGTACAAGAAAACCCAGAGTGGAAGATCAGAGGATGTAAACAGGAAATATTTCTTACAGACGTCTTCAGTCAGAGTTGCTGCTGTCAGACTCTGGAGGATCTGCTTGGAAACATCAAGCAGTGAAACTGATGGATTTCCTCCTTCAGTACAAAACTGTGAAGTTCAGCCTGGAGAAGAAACACTCCTCTGCCTCACTGTCAGCGTGTTTAATCTAAGTTATTTAGTCTTTACCTCACTGGTTAAGGTGAACCTAAATCTTTTAGTGAGACCTCAAAGTGTCTCTGATGGACAAATTAAAATGAAAATTAAAACTGTTTTGGAAAATCACCAGTAGAGTTTGAAGTACCAGGAACAGCATTCATGGAGCTCACATTAAGCACTCGTGTTTTATGCAAACCTTGTTTGTTAGTTGTCTGTTAACTTTAATGTCTCAGAGAAACTGAACTATAAGCTGAACACTTTAAGTAACTGCTGCACTTTATAAACAGAAAAAAAAGCTGATTTATACTCTAGATTTTTAAAGCTACAACTAATTTATTACATTTACTGTGAAACTTCCTGCTGGTTGGGACTCGATGTTCAGACTGTAACCTTATAGTCTGATTTGTGACCGTCCTCAGTTTACAGGTGTGAAATGTTTAAACACAAATGTGTTTATTGCTGCCTTTAAGTCAAAGTCAGTGTTTGTGTGATGAAACAAGCTTAAACTTCATCACGAGAATAAAAACATTTAAATACTGACCTGAAAGAGTTTCTTGGATTCTTTGATTTTCAAGCCTCTTCTTGACATTTTGTTACAATTTGTGTGTTTTCTTGTTTTTACGACTAATACCCCGTCCTATTAATTTAATTGTTTTATATAAGTTATTTATTTATTGTCGTCATGTGTCGTTTCCTGTTTGCATTTGATGATGTTTTCAAACAGTTGAACCAAATGAACTGTTTAAAACTTGAGTGTTTTGTTTCATAGAAATTAAAATGACCCACTGAGTTTACTGTTGTTGTTCCATGTTCTTGAATAACATCAGTGTTCTGTGAACATGATGACGAAATCAAATAAATGAGCAACAGTTCGTCATCACAGTGTCTGCTGTCTGTTTCTTCTTCAGCTCTTCATCACACTCACTCTCATTTCACTGATTTGTTTAACAGCACTGCTGAAAACTCATTTGGTGTCTGTTGGTGACTGATCATGTGACTGATCATGTGACTGTGTCTATGTTCTTAACACATTAATCTTCAATGTGAGGCTTTAATTTGAACTATGAAGCACTTTGTAACTCTGGGTTCTCTATAAATCAAGTTATAATTATTCATGAAGGCCATTCAAAGCTCTTCTTCAGATGTTGGCACATATCTGAAAAGTATAAAAAACTTAGAGGCAGAAGAAATGATCTGTCAACAGTGACGTTCACAAGGCCATTAACAGTGATCCCACTTTGCAAGACTGATAGACAATGTGCTGTATGTTGTAATCATAAAGAGAAGCAGTGTGTCGTGTTAAAGTGTGTTCATTTGTGACTGAGCTGATGAGAGTCACGTTTTACTGAAGTAGAGCTGATAACTGGGTGAGAAATGTAACGTGTGGGATGAAGTGATCTTAATCTTCAAACTTTGCTTTAATCCTGTTTGTGGAAGTTCACAGAGATTGTAAACACTTTGAATAAAACAAACGTGTGAATATTCATGAAAGATCACAAACAACACATGACCTACATGTATGTTTCAGCGAGTACATTTTATTTCTATGATAATTAAGTTAATTATTAGCTTCAGACCTGCAGGTCTTATTATGGCACATTCACTGTCATATCATGTGCTCACAAAAGCAGAGACCTGTGTTTGTATAGCGCTTTACTCATTCAGTCATCCACACATTCACACACTGATGATGGCAACATTGTAGCCACAGCCACCCTCGGGCGCACTGACAGAGGCGAGGCTGCCGGACACTGGCGCCACCGGGCCCACTGGAGTAGGCAATGGGTGAAGTGTCTTGCCCAAGGACACAAAGACCGAGACTGAGAGGCGAGGCTCGAACCGGCAACCTTCCGATTACAAGATGACCTGCCAACTCTTGAGTCACGATCGCCCACGTGGGGGCACATTAGGTCAGCCTGAGTGATCTGGGACAGTCACATTCAGTCATGTGATAGCATCACATTTTGGGAATGAGGGGGATTCCCTCCCCTCTGGTCTACATGCCCCTTTCTCCACTCATTTGGTTTCAACCCAGGTGGGAAGACCCCCACATTCCCCACTTTTGATTTTTAGCTCTGCGTCTCAAAACAGCCCACAGCTCAAGCTGCAAAAAAATCCCAGCCTGACTTTCACTTCCAGCACTTACGACCCGTAACAGCAGAGGGCGCTGCTTCAGGGGATGATCAGGATCTTGTTCCATTTCTCCTTTTTATTCACGTTTACCTTTGTAGACTTTTAACAGGAGAAAACATTCTCTAAGTTTCATTCTTTTAGCCTAAAATTTGACAAAAAAGCCCATTAAAAAAGCAAACTATTTAAAGTTTGAGTCTTCTGAGCTGGGTGTTAGATCCAGCATTGTGGGTGAAACCAGGGAAACTAAATGAATCTTGAAAATCTTCTGATTTTATTTGAGTTTTTCAAGTTTACAAAATAGTTTCAGTTAATTTTAAAGTTTAAAACGTTTTGTTATGTTTGGCTTTAGGTTTAGTTTAATTTTCTAGAAGTTTTCTTGTTGTGGGGACGTCCGGACTGTCTGCAGTGAGCTCTGCTCTCAGTACAGCCGCTGTTCAAAGTGTGTATAACACTGTAATGAAGACTGTGTGTGTGTGTGTGTGGGGGGGAGCAGAAGTAAAACCAGGTGATAGAAAACACAGAAAAGTGTTAGTTGTGTGTCTGTGGTTTTCATGTTGGGCTTTTTAAAAAAAGTATTTGGCATTTCTGTTCTTGGTTCTTTGCTCCTGGTGAACTTTTCTGTTCCCCTTCTCTTATTAATGATGGGCAACGTGAGGCTCAAAACCGTCTCGCAGTGGCACTATTGACAAATTTGGGCCTTGTAATCGGAAGGTTGCCGGTTCGAGCCCCGGCTTGGACAGTCTTGGTCGTTGTGTCCTTGGGCAAGACACTTCACCCGTTGCCTACTGGTGGTGGTCAGAGGGCCCGGTGGCGCCAGTGTCCGGCAGCCTCGCCTCTGTCAGTGCGCCCCAGGGTGGCTGTGGCTACAATGTAGCTTGCCATCACCAGTGTGTGAATGTGTGCGTGAATGGGTGGATGACTGGATATGTAAAGCGCTTTGGGGTCCTTAGGGACTAGTAAGGCGCTATATTAAATACAGGCCAGGCCATCTTGATAATGCTGTTCTGTGACACAGTGAAGCTCTGCAAACTCCAAACAACACAACTTATTATACTACACTATCAATAAAAACACAAGTGGTACACAAATCCCTCAAAAACCGCACAGTCATTCGATAACAACAACAACAATATTAATAACAAACAAATAAATAAAGCTAAAGAAAAAAAAGAGTTTTAACAGGTGTTTTAGAAATAGCCAATGAGGGCCCGACCTAACCCGCGCAGAGAGATCCTCAGTGTGTTGTTGTGGTTTTAAACGACATTTTCGGTTTAAAGTAGAAAAAGAGAGCAGACCGGAGTCAAAGCCGAACATTTCTGCCTCTTTTACTTTCCCTCTTGAAACCAGGGGCGCTCTCTCTCTCACTCTGTCTCTCGGCTATACGACAGTAGTCATCAATATTTATGTCTTTACACTTTGTGTTTAACTCATTTAAACCCACACAAGTAACAGTAAACAATAGTTTTATGTATGAAATTTTAAAATGTTCCTGAGTGATTTTTAAAGCATTTTTCAGTAAATACTTTAATATTATAATACGGGGAGATTTATGTGTCACCAGAGCTGTTTACTTCCTGGTTGCTCTTTGAGAAAATGGATCTCCGCGTCAAAGCGTCCAAAGAAAAGGTCAGTAAATTACGTTAAAATACACGGATTGCAAATAGTTTTGGTACGTGACCTTAATGTGTCTGCAGTAATGTTATGGTCATCTGTGATTACTCGAGCGTGTGTTTGCAGCTTGTTCTGACGGTCGCAGAAGTTCGGTCGTTACTCTGTGTTGTTGTAGTGGGGACATCGTGTGTTTGATTCACGGCACAGAAACACAGAGGAACGAGCCCTGGTTTTTATTGTAAATGTATAAAAATCATTTTAATGAGCAGAGCTTTCTTTTTTCTCTGCACACAATACTGACATGTGACACGCTGCGGGTGGAGGAGGTGAGTGGGTGAAACCATGACCCTGCAGATTTTAACCAGAGTTGCTTTTCTATTTGAAAGATTAATCATGTTATATTTCTGAGTGAATCGTGATGTTTATCAGCTGCTGTTCTTGAAACACAGCTCTGATCGGACCGAGCCTGAAACAGAATCAGGATATGACGAAACTTTCTTTCTCTCTTTTGTTATTCAAGTCAAACGTTACAACAAAACGTGCCTGTTTGAGTCTTGAACGTTGAATAGAAAAGTGAGTCGATCCCTAAACGTTGATTTTGTTCATCTGAACGTTTTCAGTGTGAGAAACATTTCGTCACTCATCCACGTGATTTCTTCGTTCCCAGCTGACTGCAGGTTTCTTGTAAACGCTTTATAATGTTGGGGAAACCTGGCACATCAGCTTTTAAATATCCACCATTATTGGTGGAAATTTCACAGTCTAAGAAGGGCAACCTGCCTTCATATCCTCCCTGGTGTATGTGATGTGTTCGTCCAGCTAGTTGCTGTGAATTGTGGTACGTCCTGAGATTTGATTGTCACCCAGGTGTCGTCCACATACCTGAACCAATGACTTGGTGGTGATCCAGGGTAGCACAGCCCT